AACTGTCGACACGTGGAGCGGTTGGAGCATGTAACGCCACCGGCTGTGTAGCTGATCTTAACCTGGGATGTCCGAAGGAGCTTCAGGTGGTGGGGAAGGAGGAGGAAGAGGGAGGAGTTGTTGCATGCAAGAGCGCATGCGAGGCATTTGGATCAGACCAGTACTGTTGCAGCGGCCAGTTTGCGAACCCAAACACATGCCGTCCGTCTTTCTACTCTACGGTCTTCAAGAAAGCTTGTCCTAGAGCTTATAGCTATGCCTACGATGATGGAACCAGCACTTTCACCTGCAAGGCTTCAGAATATGCTATCATTTTCTGCCCCGTTACTAATAGGTGGTGTTATATACGGCCTTTCATGGTTATAAGATCTCCATGGGATCAAGTCTTAATAATTTTAATCAGCGAGGACGTGTATCTCTCTCAGGTAAGTTCTGATTGATTAATGATTTTTCATGATTCAAATGCAGGATAAAACGACCCGGCAACCAATTCTCGGCTCCTCCTACCGAGGAGGGTCAGAACGGGCAATTCATGGCTCCACCGACTCCGAACACAGCAATGCCAACTCAGAATCCGAATGGTCAGTATATGTCTCCTCCCCCAGCTCAGGGCACAGTCGTACCACCACAGAATCAGAATCAGGACGGACCGTTTGTCGCTCCCCCAACACAAAATACTGCGACACCGACGCAAAATCAAGATCCGAACGGCCAGGTCATGGCTCCCCCAACTCAGAATCAGAATCAGGACGGACCGTTTGTGGCTCCCCCAACACAAAATACTGCGACACCGACGCAGAATCAAGATCCAAACTGCCAGGTCATGGCTCCCCCAACCCAGAATCAGAATCCGGGTGGTGGGGGGATGGGGAGAGTTGTGGAGATGCAATCCTCTTCATCAGAGATAACAGTTCATCGTGTCCAGTTTTCCATGCTTACTGCCATCTGTTTCATTGCACTGAGGCAGTTCGGCCCCATGGAATGAAACTTTTATTCAGGCCCTTTTGCCTTTCGGTAGAGAGGAGGCGTTGTCCTCGGGAGAAGCACATACAGAGATACGTAAACGACGGAAATTCAGAAGAAACCGGAAAGATATTTCTATTCGTTCGTGTTATTGTTAGTGTAACACATACACGCATATGGCTGGTTGGTATCAGTGAGTGAATGAAGAGTATTGCTCTATATGATGATAACACGAAGCCACCACGGCCTATGCAACAATAATGATTTTATTGTTCTTGGTGCTGTGCTGTGCTTTGCGTTGCTTTCGTGCCTCCTTTTTCTGGTTGGGTCTTTTCTTTTGCGGGTTTACTTCTATTATTTTCCCGGATTCCTAAAGGTACAAAACTTCTTTGTTCAGTTTCCTGACTGTTTGGTCACGAGGGAGATAATATCCCGATGTGGTGTATCAAATCCCAATGGGTCCAAAAACATGGCATAGCAAACCCATATGCTCATATTGTAAAGAAACCATTTTCTTTACTGCAGATCTGCCGAAAAAAATCATAACTTTCAAAAAAATGAAAAAGAAAAAAAGAAAAACAAACGAGCCACAAAACAGGCTTTAGAGACAAGCCCAATAGCCCAACAATAGCAAAAATGCCCATTAGAAGCCCAATGGCTGCTGAAAGCGAGGGCGAGGGTGGGGACTGGGAAGAGAGATAAGAAGCGAAACCAAAGAAGGACAGACAAATCGCGAAGACGTAGACAGTGGTTGGAGAAGAGAGAAGATGGGGATAGGCGGAGGTGGAGGAGCAAAGCAGCCGACTGGAGAGATGTTTGCGGTGGCCAATCTGATGAGGGAACAGCAGAACCCAATTCAGCAGTTTCAGGTGAAATTCAAGGAGGTGGAGAGTGGGTTCAAGTCTTGGTTGTCCAAGCAGTCTTTGCCCGTCGAAGCCGCCATCGTCTCCGCCATGAGCGGTGTTCAGGGAGCTTTCATCGGCGGTCTCATGGGCACTCTCTCCCCAGAAATGCCTCAGCCGGGTCTCGACCCTCAAGCTATGGCTTCCTTCAAGCAAGCTCAGGTGATTGATTTCCCCATGAACCCTAACCCCCTTTTTCCTTCGCTTTTCATATCGGTTTCTGTAGTCTCGGGTTTATTTTCCACGGTTTTGTGACGAACCATCATCTAACTTTGCGATTTTAATCTGACCCTTTATCGAGTTTCATGGGTTTTACATGGAAATTGTTCGACGCCGGGTTTGCTCTTGGTCGAAGTTTACGAGTTTCGTTCAGGGATTTTGGGATTTTACCGTGTTTTCCTGCTTCTGCGATTCATGGAACTGGCTGGCGTTATTCTTTTGTAGGCTCTTGTTGGCGGGCCATTGGTCCAAGCTCGGAACTTTGCTGCGATTACCGGTGTAAATGCAGGCATAGCGTGCATTATGAAACGGCTTAGAGGCAAGGAGGATCTTGAGTCTGCGTGAGTATCATTTGCAAGCTTTTATCATCTTCCAATTTTCCTTGAAAGGTTCTCTCTAGTTCGCGCTGCTGCTGAATCTTGTCTCCTCCTAGTGTAGCTTGCTATAAGCTTATACTAGTTTGAGCCGATTCCTAGTTCTGATAATTCAACAACCATTTGTACTCAGTCCCACCCATTGGAACCTTGCCTCCAGCTCTGCTGTACGAGCTTTCATCCTTTGGCTCTGAAGTAGCTGACAGCACATGTGATCTATAACTATAACTAGTGTTTATACTTCCATTTCTCTTGTTTCTATTTGTTTGTCTGTTTGTTTGTTGAGATTTGTGATCTGGGTTATCCAAGAGTATAATGATTTAGCCTTGCAGTGTGGTTGCGGCATTAGGATCTGGGGCAGCTTATTCTTTGGTAAGCTCAGGCTTGCAAGGACAGCCTGTCAACGCCATCACCACCGCAGCCGGTTTTGCGCTCTTCCAAGGATTGTTTTTCAAGGTCAATGCTCAGATTGCAAACTTACAGCTGAACCATTTGCACATTCTTTCTTTTTCTTCTCTCTAAAAAAACAGATTCTTTATCCGCGTAATCCAGTTGGGAGAAAGGTTCTCTAAACCAACCGCTGAGGACCCGTATTACGCCCAGGCAAGATCCATGCTGTTGAAGCTGGGCCTTGAGAAATACGAGAAGAATTTCAAGAAGGGCTTGTTAAATGACTCCACCTTGCGTCTGCTCACTGACAGGTAAAAATTGGGTTAAAGTTTGGAGCTTTTCGGTTCTTGAACAGTTTAAACTTTCCTGTATCATCATCATCATCATCTGTGATTCTTCTGCTTGGTATTGTTTTCGCCAGCGCGCTAAGAGACGTGAATATCCCGCCGGGGCCAAGACTTCTGATACTGGACCACGTTCAGAGGTTTGAATCCAGCTGCTTCAAGCTTTAGACATGGTCAAATCCAAATTATGAATTCAGATCACTTAATGGAAGTCTTGCTCATGTCTGCGTGTGTTGTTACAGGGACCCTGAGTTGAAAGGGAAGAAAGGAAGCAGAGGCTGAGCCATTTTTGTCTCCTGTTAATGTGGTTTTAAGGATCTCTCAAATCACATAATGTTTTCTTCTATTTTTTTTGGGGGCTGTTGTTAGGAAGAACTTCGGTTGAAATTTCCGAGGATGTCCTTTTCTAGTATTATGCTTTACCTCTTCACAAGCTGTGCTTGAGAAATTTCGAGATTTAAATCTTAATAACCTCTCTTGCGTGTCGTTGAGATCCGTCAAGGGAAATTGTGAAGTCTAAAATTTATGGAAAATTTCATAAAAATATCAAAGTTTATCCTAAATACCCTAATTTTTAAATTATTAAATAAATTGTTCGATTTGTAATAATTAAATACGACAACGACGGTAATCTACAACAGGGTTAATTTGTACTAACAGATAACGAATTGGTATTTATTTAGAATAATTTAAATAAATTGGAGTATTTATTTAGTAATTTGAAAATTAGGTATTTATGTATCAGCCTTATGTTTCTTTTAGGCCCATAGACATATGTATCCAAACTATTTACACGCTCGGTCTTAGCGCGTGGATTTCAATTTCATAAAGCGCCAATCAAATTAAGCCAATTGTCATGACCAGGTAAGCTGTTTTTTTTTTGTAATTGGACAGAAATGGAAGGGTAAAAGTGGAAACACAAGTAGCCGAAAACGCGTGTACGTTTTTCATTGGAGAGTCTCTCGCCGGTTTTCTCATTTGATTTATTTATTTTCTTTCTTTTAAATTATTCCCTGTGCTAGTGTCTACGTCTACGTGTGTTCCTTCTAGCTCTGATTCAGAAACTCGATTTATTCGTCGTCTTTGCAAGCTCGGATACGCCATCTTTGACGTCCCCAGTTTCTACGTTGAGCTTCTTCGATCTCTCTCTCTCGCACGGTAACCTTGGAATCGATTTTTCCCTCGTCTTCTTCCGATTTCCATGATCCATTGTTCTCGTTCTTTTTTCGGTTTCTGCTGCATTAACATCGAAGGTTTCTTGTCCTCTGACGATGTAGATTAAGATTTCTATTTGATCACTGTATTTTGAACTGGATCTTGTCTCTTCGTTCTCGAAACAACGATCTGTGATCTGGGTTTTTTGTCAGATCTCTTAGGAATTCGAATTCGGAGCCGGCCTTGGGTACGTGGGAGCATGATCCTTTTGGAAATCTGTGTTCATTTGGTTTTTAGAGTCTAGGGTTTGTGGGAAAATGGATTTTCCGGGAAATTCGCTCTCGGATTCTGGGAAACTGGAGCAGATTGTTTCTCACTTCTTCCCAAAGGCATTGCACATAGTCCTCGAGTCTAGAATTCCTTCGTTGCAAGTCCGTGGTCGCTCTCGCGATCGTTTTTCGGCTGCAAATGTCAAAAAGAGTGACAAATGGTTCAATCTGGTGATGGGAGACCGTCCTGCTGCACTAGAGAAACTGCATTCTTGGCATAGGAATATCATGGATTCTATGATCATTGATATAATTCTCGTTCATCCGGCTTCCTCCAATAATCTGGACAATAATGAAAATTACACGGCTTCATCATCATCATCATCATCTTCCGAGACAGTCATCGAGAGATGGGTTGTTCAGTATGAGAATCCATTGATCATGTCACCTCAGAGTGCTGAACCTTCTTTGCCTTACCAGAAGGTTTACAAGAAGTCCATCCTTCTGCTGCGCTCTCTTTACTCACAAACACGGCTTCTCCCTGCTTACCGTGTCTCCCGACAGCTCAGTTCTTCCATGGCCGCTTCTGGGTTTGACCTTGTTTACAAAGTTTCGTCTTTCAGTGATATGTTCTCTGGTTCAGAAACAGAGACAATGAAGGAGTACCGTTTTGCACCTGTCGAAGTGCCTCCTGGTCACCTTTGTGTCTCAGTGACTTACCGATCTAACCTTTCTGATTTCAATCTTGGTGCTTACATCACATTGCCTCCGAGGATCATCACAGATTATGTGGGGAGTCCTACCACAGACCCCATGAGATATTTCCCTTCTGTAGGGAAGGGAATTCATGCCACGTCCTTTCCGATAAGGGCTGGACTGCCTCCATTGTCTGGTTCATCTGAGCGTCCACATAGCTGGACCAGTGGCTTTCACAGACCGGTGGCTCAGTTCACTCCAAGCCAATCTCTAGCTGGAGCTTCACACGCTTATTCTCATCATTTGCCATCAGGATTTAATGATTTCCACTCTCCACGTAGTGACGTCTTTCATGAAAATTACCAGGTTTCGCCTCCATTTTCGCTGTCTGCTTCTCCCTCTACACCCACATACCTTTCAAGTAGTAACCTGCGGCCAGGAACCGCACCCGTGACCATTCCCTCCACAGCCACATTCAACAGACACGTTACATCTAACTTTCCTGACCCAAGTAAGAATTCTCTGCCACCTTTCTCCCCCAAAAGCACGAGACGCTCTCCCTCGTCACAGGACTCTCTTCCGGGAATTGCATTGTACAGGAGTTCGAGAAGTGGAGAGTCTCCCTCTGGATTAATGAATCACTATTCAACCCATAAGGTAATTTTCATTTTATTGTTCATTCTAAATGGAAGTAGGAGCTCACATTTCTTTACCTTATTTCATCCGATAAGTTTATTTTTTTTTAAACTAACCTTTCAGGTGACAAGAGACAGCAAATGTGATTCGGGCCGCTTCTCAGGAGTGTTGTCTTCGAGTGGCTCACCAAGATTTGGGTTTTCTAGGAGCCCCAGTAGATTATCTTCCCAAGAAGATTTGGATGACCCTGATTGCTCATGTCCTTTTGATTTTGATGACGTTGATGAACCAGGATCTCAAGCCAGGTAATAATTGGTTTTGCCTCTGTCATCCCCTGAAAGATGGTGGCCAAGTGATATCATGATCTAACTTAATGCCCTGAAATATTAAACTTCTCTTGAGTTTGCATTAGTTTGAACTTCTAATGAATAAGAATTAAGAGATGAACATTCACAATGACTCTAGGAAACAAAGTTTCATTCAGGTAAATGAACACCACAAGGGAATCTCTGGACTCGAAAATTGTTCAATATAGAAATCCTGAACTTGTCTAATTTATCCTCCTTAGAGACCATATCCTCTCTTTCATTTCTTTGTTTTCTGCTATTCTTTTTCATGTCATCCTCCTCCATTAGTAGGGTTTGTGGGAGAAAGTTCCATCCGGCTAGTTTTGTTGGAAATCATTCATGACTCACGGTCCCTAGCAATTGTATTAGCTTTTCTGTTTGCACGTTTTATTACCAGTTTTGGCATGTTCATAATCACCTCAGACGCATTTTGTGGTTATATGCCAAAATTTATGAAGAAAGAAGAGCTGCAAAATTGTCCATATCTTCTACTGTTTATTCAATGCATTAAGAATGTTAGGAACATTCAGAACTCTGCTGCCCCCCAGGTTTCAAGTGTCCATAACCATCTCGGTGAGTGAGATACATTTAAAGAAAGGATCATGGGATTGCTTTCTGGTCTCTCGGTTAGACAAAAAAGCACCATCAAACAGACAAGAAGGGGTCTTTAGAGGAATCATTAGATCGGGATTTTTGGTAATAGAACTGCAGTGCAGTGGGTCTAATCTGATCTGATTTTAAGTTTTTTTATAACATAACTATCGTTGCTCTTGTGCAGCCACCATAGCCTTGATCGAAAAAAACCCCAGAGTATGACATCGCAGTCGCTGCCGATATCAAGGAAGTCGCAGGACGCAGCGGTGGGAGTTCTGGTCCACATGCTGAAGACAGCACCGCCATTGAGACAAGACACGAGCTCTTACATGTCAATGTCCGGTCAGAGAGAAGGGTATGGTGCGGATTCTGAAATCTCCATGGCTCGAAGCACAGCTGATGCATTGGAAGAGCTCAGAAGTTACAAGCAACTTAAGGACTTGCTCCTCTCCAACTCCTCCAAGACTGGAGGAACTAGTACTGTCCACTGATATCATTATCATATTTGGCGTCAGATGAAGAAAGATGTGGTTATTGAATTTTTTGTAAATACGAAACGGATTACGCATACATATGATCAACCAAACTTTGGATATTTGAACTGATTTGTATAATTTGGTTTGCTGATGGATTTATCTTTGAATCGGAATGTACAGGCTCGTTTCCTACACTACAGAGCTTTCTTCCTCTGGCTACAAAACTTCTCCTAAGTGTTGGCTTCAAGTAACAGCAACACTTTCATAGTTTCTGAAATTTGTGATTTTGACCATTTGAAGACGCAGCAGCAGTAGCTACCTTCTACACCCTTTTTTTTTCTTAATAATTGGAAAAATGGTGTCATCTGAATTATTGAATATTAACACAGGCGTATTTGTTGAGCATAAATAACAATATAAACTATGGTTAAAAAAAAAAAAAAAGAAAAAAGACCAAAGGCTGGAATAGGTGTTTGTAGTGGTGAGACCGTACTACACTTCCAACAAATTCACGTATCTCAGAGAGAGGTTCAACAGTGACAACTACAACACAAACCATCGAGTAGTAACAGCACGGAAAGGCAAAACGTTCATGTTTCTAATGATGTAGTCACAAAACTCGAATGAGCACATCTTTACACGCTCTGCTCATGTTTCATGAACGATCTTTCATTTAGCAATTCAACTAACTTAGACATTCAAGAAATCCAGATCTTTCGTATAGTCTCTTGCAGGAGCTACGGCTTCTTGCTTCTCAGCTGCTTGTTCACTCTCCGACTCACTTTCGGGTGAGGTTTTCTTGCTTTCCTCTACAGCTGCAGTGGTTTCGGGGGTCGGGCTTGAGAAGGAAGCGGTTTTATCTTCTGAAGAAACTTCCTCCTTTTCTACCGGAGGCTCGGGTTCAGTCTCTGACGCTGGTTCAGTCTCGGCTGCTGCTTCGGGCGCTGGAGCAGCAGGAGGGACGGGTTCTGGTGCGGCTGACTCAACAGGAGCGGCTTGTGGCGCTTCGGAGGAAGGAGGTGCTTCGATTTGCAATGGCTTAGTTGGTTCTTGCTGTGAAGTTTTCTGGATGGGTGGAGGTTTTTTCTGGGTAGAAATGGAAGCGAAGATGGACGACATTCCCGGAGGCAGTATCTCAATGGGTGGTTTCCGGGAAGCATCGGACAAACTCGTAAGCTTGGGATCCTCGAGGGAGGCGAGGAATGCACTCGCCGCATCGGTTTTTGAAGATGGCGCCTGCTCAACTTCCTTCTGCAGAGTTTTGTTCCAAGCCTGTACCAAATTCTTTAACGTTGGACGACCATGTGCCTGCATGATCAAGTCGGTTATAAAATTCAGAATTTCAAGTATTTACAAAAAACCAAAAAACAAGCAAAAACTAAGTTCAGACGAAGGAGATCGATCATACATGGGCATGAAGCACAGCTTCTGCGAGCATTCCCGTGTCTTGCCATGCTTTCTCCATGAGAGCATTGTCCCCCAAAACTGCAGCTGAAAATGCAGCTTCACGCCCCATGCCTATGGAGATCAGATTGTTTATCAGACCCTGCAGCAAAATTAATTGTTCTTAAATTAAGGCCATAGTAGATCGATGTAGGCCAATACACCTATGAGAATTTCATTACCACGAATTCTTCCATCTCTTGTTACAGGAACTTGTCATTTGAAAAGTTTCATATATTTTAAATAGAAACAGAAGGAAAGAGAGATTGTTAAGTACACTTAGGCGTGTCAATTCTCCATGATTTGCTAGGCGTAAAGCAAGCCCTCGTAAGTCATCACCGCGCAATGCACCTTTCACTGAACCTGCAGTGGCCAACCTTTTGAGCGCTTCGCGAGCAATATCAGCTTGTCCAGTGGCATCTGCAGCATCAATAAGGTCCAGAAACTCTTTTGCAAACTTCACTATTCCTTGAACAGCCTCGACCACATCTTCTTTCTTAGTTGTTAAAGAAAGAATATCGCTCAAATCGAGACCAGAACCATCCTGCCCAATGTCCCGACTATTGCTCATCGTGAGAAGACATTGAAGAGCCCTCTTGAGATCGTTGCTCTGCATTGCTAGATCAAACTCCAACCTGAGAAGACGCAACTATGTCTTGAGTACATTTTTTAAAACAAGAGGGAAAATAAAACTACAACCACGGATGTAAAAAGGAGCACCAAAATTTGTTTCTTGTGTAGAGAGACTAGGAGAAAAGGGACAATTACGAATGGGCGTGCCAAAATGGTAGTATACTTTCGTTATATGCATCATTTACCTCTTTGATATTCCGGGCAGATGAAGGGCTTCAGTAGCATAGCCCATTCCTAGCATAAACTGTGCTAGATCATCGTGATGCTCTCTTCCGAGCCTACTTGCCCTGCACAAGGAAAAAAAATTAAGCACACCAGGAACTACAAACAGAGATATTCGAGAAAATGAGTAGGTGTTCATACCATTTAACTGCACTGACAGCATCACCATAAGCAGCTAGGCAGCGACAACGGATGCCGGGATGGCTCAGTGATATAGCATGGGCACACATGTACCTGTCAAATAAACGACGGTGGCATACAAATACTTATTTCCTCTTGCAACAACAAAAAATTTTGAGTTTTAATATTTAGTATCACTCAAGTGATCCAAGCGTAAGAAACATGGCATGACATGCTATTTCTTCATAAACGTAACAACGAGGAACGTAATGTGAAACAATTTGTCCGTTCAAGTAGAACAACATTCTGAATGTAGAAATGTCAAAAGTACAAGAAGCAGAATTTAGTATAAGGATCACAATAGCGCTTTTTCAACTTCAGAAAGTAATAAATAGTTATACTGCATAAAACAGGACACGTCTATATGAAGCTCGTTTTCAACTAAGGGTAACTTTTAGTACCTATCAATGAGCCAAAGAACTCCATCCCGTACACCAACAACGACAAGAGGTCCCACTGGTCGTTTTTGCTCCACTGGAAAACGAGTAACAGCCACCGAAACCCCACCACCACCAACAGCTACTTCATTGGCTTTTCTTTCATCCAGCATAGAATCATCTCCATCAACCCTAGATTGTCTCGGCAGTGATAAGAATGGTGGAACAGAGGGAGCATTTTGGAAAGAAGCTAAACGTACCACCTGCAAGACAGAATATGCATAAAGACAGGCCATTAGTTTGACACAATTTGATGTAGATGCAAACAAGTTCACAACACAAAAATACAAGCTTAGATCCAGATAAAATGCTTCAAAAATAGCCATATATATATCAAGCAAGAGAAAGACTAGTCCACCTGCAGCATGGGGGGCCTTAAAGATATCCTTTCATGCTTAACAGTCTGTAGACCTTCTACTGTGATCAAGGCTAACTCTCCATGCTCTGCAACTGCTCTGGCCTGCGCCTCCTTCAGTTTCATCTCCTCTTTCATCTTCCTAGTTTCTATATCGATTTGAGAAACTCCGGCATCCACAAAGACGCATCTGAAGATCAAACATCGCAGAAAATATTAACATCTGTCACCATATAGTTTATCAAGCTCGAAAGCTAAGATTGGGGTAAGTAATGGCGTCCTCTACAAAGTTTGATTCAGAGTTACAATCTATGAAGAACTGGACTGTGTACCACCTTGGTAATAAAATTTTCTTGAATTTCGGTTCAAAGAAGCAGAGTTTTTTACTCAAACCTCTTCTAAATGAGGCTCAACAGTTTGAAGAATCATATTTTTTTAGAATGAACTTGTTTTGTATATAAAATAAAACATTCATCTTACTCAATTGTAGTCGGTGTAACAACAAACAGCTGCCTCCGATGCCAAACAGAGCTAGTAGCATGCGAAATGGCAACATCTCCAAGATATCTATACTGAGGCCGTAGGGAAGATATGACTATATATTGTTGATAAGCAAAAGCACAGTACTCAACCGTTTGGTCCCATGCAGTCCATTCTGGCTGGGGTAATAAACCACCCACTGGCTCAAAAGTCTCCCAACTGCACATTGAAGCTTCCATTAAGATTAAAATGGAACTGAGAAAATTCAAAAAGAAAATTCAAAAAGATACTGCCATACATTTGAAGTAGAAACTAAAAGGGTGCATCTGGGGCAACAATGGAAGAGCTTACACAGTCTAGCTAGTAACTAGAGTATTGTCCATCATTCCATTAAATACAAGCTACTTTTTTACCACTCATACCGGAGTGCCAAAAAAAAAAGAGACAAAAAGGCATACTAGACAGGTAAATTAGCTGATAAAAGAAAAAAGAAACGCCACTAAAATGTACAACAGTCTTCTGCCTGCACCACAGCTTCAGGTAAAAAAGAGAACAAACATAGAGGAGGCTCTCACTGAATTAACTAAATCACAAAGTACCTGTAAAGCTGATAATTTAGGGAAGCAGCATCACTAGATCTGTTAGAAGAAAATCCATCATCATAGTTAGAGAATGAAGAAAGATTGCTGTTTCCAAATCCTGAGAGCGGCATTGATTGAATCGTAGAAATAGCAGTTGCAGCAACAGGACTAATCCTACGGGATGTGCGATAGGCCACACCAAGTAGAGCACCGCCATGTAGACCGATGACCTGTAATGAAAGATTCCAAAGCACAAGATTTTGTTGTTATCTAAGCTAAAATTCAAGCATGACATCCGACCGACATTCTCAATAATTTGGAAGCCAGTATCTCAGATTTTTGTCAATCGTCAATCAAGAACTTAATTATGCTCATGTTAATTCGTTAAGTTCTTAGAAGCGTTTATATGTTAATTATTTAATAAAACTATAACATAAAAGTTTAGAAGCATTTATAGGTTAGATATCTAATAACATGGATCTTCTCAATGGATGATAGACCTGAAATATGTACAGCAGAAGCCACAATAAATGCATTATTGGTTTCGATATATAAACGATAGCGGTCTAGGTAAGCTCTTGCTAGTTGCTCTGGGGTCTAGGGTGTATAAAACAACAAACAAGATTACAGAAAACAATAATTCAAGGAAAGGACTCATACTGGTTCAGAGCGACCCCCAACGGATCTCATGAGTATGTTTGATGTACCATCATCCAAGAGAATACGGACTTGGACAGTAGCTGATGAAGCTGCACTAGCGGCTGCAGCGGCAGCTTGACCTGCGGCTGCAGCGGCTTCTTTAGCCCTTCGTGATGAACCACCTTTTGGGATTATAGGCATTCTCGGAGGTAATGCAGATTCCAATATTGCAAATCTATCGCGGCATGTATCCCAAGCCAAAAGCCTCGCACTTCCAGAATCAACAACGGACCAGTCACTAACCTTGTAGATAGAGAAGTATGGTATGTCAGGCCATACAACTGCAAGATACCTGCAACCAGAATAGTTGGTATATAAGAAGACAGACAATTAAAATGTTACATACAACAAGACAACATTTTCTTTTCTTCATATTCATGCAGCACGAGATTAGTAGCTTCAGGCTCCTCAGAAGGACATGATTAACAGGGATATGCCATTTAAAATATTTTACATGTATGTTAGGTAGGACGCAGTATTTCAGGAAAGGAGAAAGTTCATGAAACAAGGGCAATTACTTCATATGACAGATGACATATTAGCCTGCAAGCAGTATGAAACTAAAAACAGTATTTCAAGGAACAAATATAATCATCTTGCTTAAAACATACACAATGATTCGTCTCAAAATAGAACCAGAAGACTAAAGAGGGGAGCCCAAGTAACTTACTTTCCAGAACTGCTTACAGACAGAACAGAGTATGAATCATGTGGAACAGGCGTACTGATATGCTTTTTAGTTTGCTTTACAATTAATGATTCACTGGAGTCTCCCTTGAACCTTCCTGTCTCAGCCAAGGAGCTATTATTTCCAAGGGAAGGGTTGGCTGAGTTGGATAGCTGAAAGTTCAGCATTTTAAGTTCCCTTTCAATGATATACACAGCAGAATGCTCCCTACTTTCGGACGGTGTTGGAAGCGGAGCTGCAGATGGTAGGGCTCTAGGATCAAATTCGCTAACTATAATACCAGCATTAGTGCCTGTCGCGACAAGGTGAGGCTGGAGAGGATGTGCAACCATACAATAGACCTGAAATTGGAATTAATGAGTTGCCAAGGGATTCTACTATAAATCTCTGGAAGCAGATGGAGAAAAGAACAAACATTCTATGCTATTATAATTAACAAATCAACCAGAAATTTTGATCAATGGAGATCAACTAGCTACTCCAAAGAGACAATTAATCCAAAATTATTGTAGGTATATATAATGCATATGTTTCCTTCAGCCTGAACGATTATCTGGCGTCATCTAATATCATAAAGATGATGATTTTCCACCACAAAATCATAATACATGCAGGTTTCAAAAGAACAAGCATTCCGCAATCTTCTTCTACAGAGGATAGGACAAAAAACACAAGATACTGCTCTGGAAGAAGCAAAAAATATCATGTATGTAACCGAGCATTTCTTTGTTAATCCTGGTCTAAATTAGTGGGAAAGAATTTGTGATGGCATGTGAAGTTCTGTATACTAGAAAACATGAAAGTGCTGATGTAATATACAGATGACAGGGCAGAAAAAAGTCACAAGTTCTTCAAGGTTTCATCACTGATGATATATTGACATAACTTCCACGATGGTGGGATGCATAAGCCATTTGAGTGGTTTCATTTCTCTAAAATAAAACAATATAAGAAAGAACCGATTACCCTAAGTTTCTTGTGTGTTGCAAGCACTTGGGGAGGAACCAGGGATGAAAGTTCACATAATGGCCTTGTCAGTGCTGAATAGGTGGGATGTTCAATAGACCTGTGAAAAGTCAAACAACTAGCTACTCAATCAAGAAACATAGATTTTACCATAGACAATTAACAATCTCCTAATCAAGCATACCATATGTGTGAATCTTTGACACAGGTTAAAATATCAAGATTTGGAGCTCGAGGGTGACACCAAGAAGCAATGCTATGGCATGCTAGCTTTGAGACAGGTTTAATTCTTCGCAATTCCTGTCGAGGAAAGGGTGACATGCATATTGAGCAAAGAAACTGAAAGCAATATAAAAGCCCATACAAATGAGAAATGTGAAACATTACCTTAAATGTCATTGTGTCCCATATGGCCAATGTCTTATCAGCACCAATTGTAATCAACTGCGGAGCACTGCCACTTACCCTTGACAGCTCAACAGCCACCACCCCTCCATCATGTGCCTAAGAGAAACAAAATAAGGACATCAGAAGAAAGGAAACAAATGTAACTACAAAATGGATTCTGGAAGGAAAAAGTACTACAAACAGAAATAAAGAGAAATCATAGACTCATTGACAGAGAAGAACAAGACAGGACGGAAGCACCAAGGGAAATCTCAGTGCTAATTATCCTTCATAAATACACGTACATACGTGCACAAATCTACTCCCATGGTTCAATGGAACTAAGAACTAGAAAGCCACCCTCAGCTATATCTCAAATCTGGCCAATCTTGCTATGTCTAGCAACACTTGAGAGGCTATAGTCTCTCTTGAGCTTTTATGAATTTGGAAAGTGTATCCAGTTCCCACAAAATACCTTCAAGCTAAGCTTTGGTACTAGTTCCCTTGAATCAGTACCATGATCTGCACTCCACAATATAAGTAATCCATCACTACCACCTGAAACAAGGAGTGCCTGCAACAGAATTCATAGTTTAAATAGAAACACATGGAAACCAACAGATAAAGAATGACAGGTATCATGAATGGCATATGAATAGTTGAGATGAAACTAGCAATAAATGTTCATCTAGCAGTGTTAAAATAAAGAAAAAATCAAAATAAGTTAATATAAAACCCACAAACTGGAAAAGAGAATGCCACAGTTTACATCCCACCCACTCCCAGCCATAGTGAATGATTCTAAGTTCAAGCAAATAAACCGAGAAAGAGAATCAACCTTTGTAGCACAATTTAAGAAACAAGGTTTAACATAGGAACTTAGGCAAAAGTTTCAAAATGTAAGACAAACTTATGCTTAGCAAGGCCTCCTCAGTTTGAACTTTCTTAAAATGGGACAAATTTCCATGAAGATTGACATGGTTTCCCCTTTCTTTTTTTGCCTTTTTATTTTTCCTCATCCAATCACCTGGAGACTTTGCATATGCTCTCAAAATTAAAGTGGTTGTACTAGACAGTACGAGACAAATAACTCAAAAAAGAAATTGAATGGAATTGAAGAAGGGGCGTTAGTCCAAAACACGTATTTACTTCGCCAGATGATGCAATGAAATTCATCAAGCAGGAAATTGATCCTTTATGCCCTCCTGTGTACCTGCGTACAAGCTGAAAAGAAACGACATAGGGTGTAATTAGGAAGGATAGTTAACAAGAACAAATGCAACAACTTTTGAATGAACAGACCTTCCATGTAATCATTGAAAGCACCCTAATGACACCATCGGATGAACCAAATGCAACCAAGGGGCCATCACCAGCGGATGATCTCGTGAGAAACTCCATGCTGCAAAGAAAGAAAGAGAGCAGCCAACCATCTGAACAACGATCTGGAAAAAAAGGCCTTATAGTAGGCCCTCAAGAAATATCATACTTAAATTCTAGGTTTTAAGTATGGAATACGCACTTCAACTTATGCATAGGATCCATTAGACACAAAGATTGGCCATCTAGTTGGAAGAGCACTGTATCTCCTAGGTACCAGATTCAAAGAAAAAAATGCTCTAAGATGAGAGAAACAGAATAACTCGCCAGAGAAGTGATTTATTGTCAAGCTCCTGCTTTGGCACATCTCGACCACGCATTGTCACCAAGTCCAAGAAAATGGCTTTATTCTCACAACAGATGACCAGAAAATGCCGGCCTTTAGTAGAAGGAGCAGGGGAGGTGAAGCCGGATGTGAGATGATTGACTGCTGATGGAGACTCTGCAGCAGCAGAACGATTGCACCAAAGTTGCCAATAACGCACATCATCATCGTAAAAGTTCACCTGCTTAACACTTGTAGAGGAACAAACTGAAAATAAGTCATTACATTCATTTCGAAAGAGGGTGAATGAATAGCTTCAGAAAAGATCTTTACCTTCCTCCTCGAATGGCTTCTGTGGGTTTCGATTTAGAGTCTGCAGAAAACACAAAAGATAAAACAGAAATCATCTAAAGGGCTAACTGGTTTTCCAAAACACAATGCACACGACGATAAGAGCAGTCCAGACCATGCCTACAGAACGACCAGTCATTAACTAAAGAACAGTAATTTTGGAACGAGTGACCAGATTCCTAACTAGGGGAACAAGTTGAACAATATCTCACCAGATTCTCCCTCAGCAAGCTTCTCTAACTTGGCACCAACCAACCTGCGCTGATCAACTCCACCGGCTTTCAATTCGTAAATCACCTGGAAAATGCCCGTGTTCGTTAGAATCTCGATTAGGGGTCGGATTCGGAGAAGCCCAAGTCAAATCGGAAATCAGACGACCTGACGATGCTCCCAGTTCCAGACAGAGACGTGATCTGAATCATCGGCGGTAACAAGCCACGGATGCGTAGGATGCACCTGTATCTTCACAACCTTACCGTTGGTCTGCCGAAATGCTCTCAGACGCAACATCTTGATCTCTTCTTCAGACCTCCGAGATTCAATTAGACGCAACTGGAGATCTAATTCCCCAATCGCATCTCAGGAAAAATTGCTAAACACGAATTCGAGCTGCACGCTCAAAACTCTAAGAGAACGATTCGGAATAAGCGTCAGATCGGATCCAGTACATTACAATCAGAGATTAGCAAGCAGAGATTGAACGCGAGAGACCCCGTAACGTACGCATGAACCAGAAGAAGAAAACTAACCAGCAGTGCCAACCATGGCGGTCCACCTCGAAGGTCCGACAGATCGGCCCAGTCGGAAGCCCAGAGGGGTTTTATCTTTTTTTTACCACTTTTTTTTTAAAATTTTTTTTATGAAAGAAAAGTAATAACGTTTTCTTGGCCTAATAATAATATGCCCCAAATATGACCTCTTTTTGTCGGTAAAAGAAATATCTAAACAACTAAAATGTATTTAATAACTTATAAAATCATTTATTATATATATATAGTTTTATTTAATGTAATTTTAAATAATTATAATTAATCATTTTTTTTGTAAAAAATGAAACCGATGCATTAGTGTCTCGAACCCGAACCCAGAAACCGATTCTCGAAACGTCTACCCTACTATATAGAAATATGTATATTTTGATTATTTACCTTTAAAATTCAGTGGTATGCCGATTGCTTTTACAGATGTTCATGTTCTGCGTATGAATCCCGTTTACTTTTTTTTTTTAATGGCTGATCAAGAGTTCAGTGTCATGCTTTGTGCCTATGGATTCTGAAAAAACTAGTTTCACTATACCTTGTGTACACTAAGACACATTCCTCTGTCCTATACAGACAAAAACCTCATCTTGTTCATCTTCAACCTACTTTAATTCCTTAACTGAGATTACTCTGATGTAAAACAAATCGACTGTTCCAACCCCGGCTTTTTTTCGAAGCTTCAATGGTGGATAACAAAATCTGCAACAACTCATCTGCTTCTTCCTCGGTTGGCAGCTCTAAGGTTGTCTGACGAAGCGGCAGAGACGAAGAAGAAGCAGAAGAAGAAGAAGGGTTCCACAGTTTTCCACTTTGGCCACGGCTTTTCTTCTGCTGGGTCTGTCTCCAGCTCGAGGCACTGTCAAAACTGCTTCCCACAATATGAACAACTCCTCCGCTTGAATCTACATGTATTACACTCTCTAGACCGATCTCTCTCTCAATCTTCCACTCCAGATCCACAGGAACACCTTGAAAGCCTGGACCTCTGAAATCTGCCAAACTGGGGCTGATAACGACCAGTATGGATCGCCCTGTGACCACCACGAAATCTCCTCCTCGCTTTAGAGCTTTGCACTTTATCAGAATCTCACCTTTCAACTTCAAGTTGTCTCCAACCTCTGTAAGTACTGCAGTCCCGACCGCTTCTTCCCAAGAATATGGCCTGAGAGGAAGTTCTCTATTCAGAGGTCTCGGAAGGCGAAGCCTACGCCTCTGGTATCTTGCACTGTGAAGCCTGCTTCGGTTTCTGATACTCTGCGCAGTTTTTCCCGTAACCTCGAGGATACTAGCCGTGGGCCTGGCAACAAGTCCAGTGATCCCCAAAGCTATTCCTGGAACCAAAATAGGTATGAATAAAATTGGAGTTATACCCGAGAACTTGTTCACCAACATCCCATGTGCGGCTTCTTGCTTAATTAATTACCTGAGACTACTCCTGGAAGGCCATGCTTTTCGGCTCCCCTTATTGGTGATTCAAGGAGACCAGTGAGCCCCTGTGATTTTGCAAATAATAACTATAAATAAGCAAATATCCATCCACGCATATATGCATTCTATGCGCAAGTTCAAAGGATAACTTCAGACAGGAGCAGCCAGACATAGAGGGACTACATCAGAAAAATTGGTTTCTCAAAACTATTGAAATTCATTGCGGTACGGCTTAGAGAATATCGAAGATGGTAGATTCGAGACTAACATATCAGGGGAAAAAAAAACTCTACACTAACAATCGTGAGAAGGGGGAAAATCGCTGATCGAATGGGAGCATTTCAAACTACTGAGAGCACAAATGATATATATACCTCAAACACTTCACCTATAACTCCTTTGCTGTGAGATCCTTCACCTTTTTGCTGGTTTTCCATTCTCGCAACATCATGATCGTTGAATGTAAATGCAACGATACCCTGCAAAAGAATTAACAATTTCGTGTGATAGGACAGCAAGTTCACAAGAATTCCAAGAAGCAACAGATACCGACTACTACCTTATGGGCAGCTTTACTGAATTGAGTGGCAGCATCACTTAAAGCGTAGACAGTACTGCTCAAAAGACTTGTAGTTCCTTGTGCCATTCCTTGAATAAGTCCTTTAGGGCTCTGTTAAAGGAATCAAATCTAGCAATCTGAGAACAAGGTACACCCCCAAACCAGACATTTAATGGAAAAAATGCATTAAATAGGGATCATATCTCATCATCACCTTTGAAACACCTCTCGCAGGAGCTGACAAAAAATCTTTAACTCCAAGCGCTACATTCCTCGCAAACCCCATAGGATTACCAATAACTCCAGCAGAACCGAACACCTAAACATTAAATAATTAGGAGAATGCATGCCATGAGTTCACAGTGGAATGAGGATATACATCAATCTGACTTGGTAGTTGGTAGATCGGTTGCAATGGAATGATCAACACATGATGAGATAGTAGGACATTGCTACACCGATTCACTTTTGACTGGCCTATCTTGCTTACCTTGTAAAGCTCATGTAGAATTTGACGGGTATAGTGCCCAATGAGGATCTCCTGAAATGATTCCACACTTGACATGTGATGTACAATCGTTAATTGCTTGAGATGAATTCGTGCACCCTCGACATCAGCAAGAGCCATAAGACCTCTCTGGAATTGGATCATAATTCAACATTAACGAAATGATACAAATACAACAGGCTCTAATCTAAATTAACAGAGCATTTTTAAGATGGAATGAGGAACGTATATCATCAGAACACTCAGCCAGAGCCAGCCATGGGCCTAAGGAGTAAAGAAATATATAAAAAGGTCAACTTAGCATGGAAGACAACCAGAAGAAAAAAAATTACTACAGAAAATCAACATCTGTATCTCTATGTTGGGTGAGGGAGGGAGGGATGGAGGGAGTATCCAGAACCTTATGTCACTAAATCATCATTATACAACACACAAGCAATGTCTCTACTATCGAATAGGTCTAAGCAATGTTTCCAGGAAATGAAGGTACATACATGGATAAGGGAGTCCCCTGAAGTAAGAACACCATGCCTAAGCATCCAGGGAGCACTAGAAAAGCTGTCAAGATTGTGAAACACAAAGGAAGAGTAAGCATCTCGAAAGGTCAGGAAGGTTTAACGATCCTGGCAGGAGGTTTTCTGACTCACCTTAATGTAAACTTAACAGGGGCCAACTCGAACATTTCAACGTAGATCTTTCTGTGTCTTCTAGCCAACAAGTAAATCTGCTGCCAAGGAGCCCCTATCGGAATTATTGAAGGGAAAGATACAATGCTTCTCTGGCTTTTGTTAAATACCGGAATATTTCTAGCATGTGGAGGATCATCTTTCACACTTGTATCCTTTGCAGAACCCGTATCATAAACAAGAGGATGCAGTGTTGGATCTGAGAATGGCAGTAGTCTACTCTGAGATTCTGGAAGCACAGCTTTTACAAACTCTAACAATGACAAAATAGTTTCTAATTCGAGCTCGAGGCAGAAATCTGCTATCCTGCATTCATTTGAAAATTTGAAGAAACACTGAGAGCTGGGAAACAGAAAGTATAAGCAAAAGACAATGAACTGGGACTGTGATGTGGAAGATTAAAAAGAATGTTCTAGTGTTTCACACCTTAAGTGTATGTGCTCCAAAGAAACTAGTGAAGCATCTTTCTTCCTCCACTTTGCAAGCCCAGCGTATAGTACAGCATCATGAGTTTTACTCCTAGTTTGCTGCACTATTTCACCGGAAGATCTTCCTTTGGTATCCTTAATACCACCCCAGTCAGAAGGAATGCTTCTCTGCTCATGATTGAATGACAATATGACAGGATATGAAGAATTGTAGAGTGGGTTGTCAATCTGTAGCGATGAGATCTGAAAGGAAAGTTTCTGCTGATCTAAACTTTGGCTCAGATCAAACACTACATTTGAGACACAAGCATAAATCAATTCCTGTAAGGAGGAATAGTGTTAGTGTCGGAATAATCTAGGGACCTGATAAGAATAGGAAAGATTCTTTTGGGTGGGGTATACCTGAGGCTGGGAATTAATCAAAGAGATACCAATGCTTGGAAGGACAAGTAAGAAGTTTTCTGTGTAACAGGCCACATTATCCTTTTGAAGCTTTTGGTTTCTCTTCTCCTGGAACTTAGAGCTAATTTTTTCCTCTATATCTTTCGTGGCATGGTAACCGGAATCTACAATGCTGAGCACCTGCAATTGAAGAAGATAAAAATAAGTTGAATCGTCAAGAAGTTAGCTAACTGCTATTGGGCTACGCTAAAATGTACCTTTGTAGCTCCTTCAGCACAGACAGATAACAACAATGTCCTTTCAGGTTTCTGGAGAAGAGTAAAACAATAAATTAGACAAGCCTACAAGCAACTATATGGCACTAGACAGCCAAAATATGAAAAGAACAATAAAGAATAAACTTAAGAGACTACACCTCCAACACCATCTTCTTCCATTGCATATTTCATTTTCTTTTAGCTAAAGGGAGGAGGAGGAAGAGGAGGGAGGGCATATAAACTTGTCCTAGACTATTCTGTGACTTAACTTTCACTCGATTAGAATACCATACCAGATATCTGTTCTTCTAATGCCATTTATTTTATATTACTGTATTTTCTGATAAACTTTTCCATGCAGTGGTCCTCACAAACACTAACGTTGGTCCACAATTGTCCATTTGTCAAATCCAATATTAAGGATGTCTGAAGATGATACAGAGTTGATAGGCTTGCTCAGAAACAAAGTAGAATCCAATATTAAGGAGCCATATTCAACAGTTCCATCCATTCTACCTAATGATCACGTCCCTAAAAGCATCTCAAAATTTGTTTCTCGAATATCTTGTGGCTAGTGTTTTTGCTTTTCATAAGAGAAGATGGAGTACTATGACTTTGGGGCAAACTGACGCAAAGAGGATTCCATTTTAACAGAAGACAAAGGAACTCTCTTTCATACAAGAGACTCAGGAAAACATTTTGCAGCAACACCATCACAAGAGAAAAATAGCCATAAAGAGGTTGATTGTGAAAAATACCTCAGAGGTGGAGCGTAAAAGCACTGGAATAGGCTGTTTTGTTATATCAAGAGTATAAGAGCCTATAACCCGATTTCCAGGCACCTAAATTAGTCATAAAAATAAAATAAGAGAAAGAAAAGGAACAAAGAAGATTAGACACATCAATAAACATCAAAATTGTGTGGCTTTTTATGATAGAATAAACTAATCAGCTTACCTCAATTGTCAAACGATGTGGATAACAGGGTTCATCCCAAGCATAAGGGCATGAAGTATAAGGGTGAACTATGGTGTCAAAAGTTTCACATTTTTGTTGATAAACCCTCAGTCTCTACAGTATAAACCAGAAAAAAAGATGTTTAATATCATGTAGCATAACCTAGGGTTAGAAGATCATATAGTTTCAGTGTGTCATTGTGTTTCAGAGAACTTCTCTGCCCTTTAAAGATCGGTTACTGACTTACCTCTAGAAAGGGAAGGAACAGAAAACCCTACGCTGGTTGAAAAATCAATAGCCCATTGCATATTATACAGATGTTCATCGAAATTACTCTTGGGCTAATCCCAAGGTCAAACCTTAGAGTAAGGACACAACTGAATAACCAACAGGAGGGAAACTTAACAGCAAAATACTAGTCGAATCTTCACAGAATTCAAGACGATATAATCAATTCTAATCATCGGTTATACTATTTTTTTGGCCCGCTTTAAGTGTTCAGACAGTGCTACCTCAATGTAGAACATGTCAACATGACGCAGATATAATCAAAACAAAAATGAACCTAAGCGCTGAAGGAAAATCCAATTAAAAAAAAAAGATTTGTCTCTATAATTTAACCAATGGAGAGAAAACTGCAGTTGAACAGTTACCTCTTTTGAGAAATTATCAATTCTGTAGGGCATATATCCCATGTCATCGTCTGATAGAAGAATAAGGTTGGTTCCAACATTTCCACGTATATTCCCGGCAATCTTTTCATTTCCACTCGAAATATCAGCATTCTGGACCTCCACTCGTACCATGTTTAACGCACTCGTAACGTAATTCCACATTTTCAGTTGCGTATCTCCTAAATGATCTGGCAAGAAGCTACCCGACCATTGCCATCCAGGCTCGTTGAAACGGATTGAAACTAACAATTCCCTATAGCATATAGAAAAATTGGCACACAGAATATCATGCAAGCTTTCAACTGTAATTCCTGTTTCTAGTTGAAAGGGAAGTAGAAGCATCAACATCAATGGTGTCCAACTGCGCATGTGCTTGAAGAGTCCCCTAATTCTGACTCGTGGAACTTTTTTAATTCAGAGCGATTATATCACAAGAACAGAATTTTAAGAAAAAGAAGTCCACAGGAATAGCCATTTAAAGAAAGCTAATATTTCAGATAAACAATTTAAGAAGTCAGAGAGGGGCAAGATGAAACTGAATGCAAGTGATTGAGAAAAGACCTTGCATATAACAAGCATATCTTGCATACAAAACGTAAATAAGGACAGAAAGGACCTTGTAGTATCTGTCCAGTGAAGCTGAGAATGCTGTCCGACAGCCAAATGAGTAACTAAATTGGTTCCCTTCTGCTTGTAACATAGGTCCTTGCTGCATGAGTTACAGATAACATATCTGCAACATGCAAGTTTGTTCACTGGACTAATCAGGAAAAATAAAAGTGCAGGATTAAAAAGAGCATTTATTGACACTATCAGTCACCTGGGTTGAAAGGTTATTGCTTGTGTTCTCCCTCCAAATGCGCCACCAAGAATAGAACACGTAACAGATAATAAGAATGATTGGCTTGGCGATGATTGTGGGACAATGACACTTGTCGAACCACTGGGTGGAACAAGAGAAAATGGAGCTGACCATAGAGAATGTGGCCTATTTGCATTGTCTGACCCTGGCAGGCCCTTTTGGACTCTAATCAAAATATCACTTGCACTGGAAATAGCACACGGTGAATAAATGCATGCTTTGACCTTGCTAAGGTCATCATTACCTAGGAAACACGCTTCCCTTAAACTCTTTGAGGACATGTTCCTTTTTTGACCAATTGCTGAGCCTTTTCTATCAGCTGGAAATTCTTGTTGCTTGTGAGAATATCTATCTAGAGTTGATAAAATCACAGGCTTGTGTACTAGTCTGTCAGAATCTGAATTAGCTATTCCGCTTTCTGATGAAGACGGACTAGAAGGGGCGTCAACAATTGGAGCTCTATCTGAAAAATCTTTCTCACAGGATAGGATGCCAAGTCCCTCTTTCCGACTTTGAACAAAATTTTGCTCAAACAGGTTGTAGCAGGATGGAACTATGATGGATGTCCCTTTTGCTTCATTACTGCAGTTCGAAACAATCAGAGGAGTTCCGGTGCAGTTGTACAACAGAAATGGAACAAAGACAGATACTTCTCGAGCACCACAGGTTATATCCACCGTCTTCTCAAAGGATACATAAACTGAACCTTCAAGACAAAAATAGTTTTGAAAACAACTCAACATCAATATGCATTTCTGAAAGACACACAACCCTGAGAGTCAGAAAGTAGAAAAGCTTACCCCCCGAGAAATCAGAATCGAAGGAAACAGTTTCAGTCTGAGAGAATTTCCCTCCACTGAACTTAGCCACTGCGCTGAAAGTTTCAGAGCGAGGGAACTTTAAACGTGCTGGTCCAAATCCGTCCATTTTGAACTCTAACATCAGGTCATGTGAAGGATCGCTATGATGGAATGGAGCATCCCCCTAAAAACATTCATTTATTGTCGCATATAATACACTATATTAGACATAATCAAACTTCATTGAAAGAAGGAAAGTTTATGCATGTCTCAGACCTCAGAAAGCAATGCAGACTGGGTGATGCCACCACTTTCAACAGTGAGAGATATTGGTTCAGGAAGACAGTTTCTCACAACAAGTGGAGTACTTAAAGTCACTTGATGAATAAATCGCTCCCTGAATCGGTTCACATCATGCAATCTGCGGCCAAACTTTCCATCTGGTAAATCATTGAAATGGAAAGATGCCGGCAAGCTAATGGTCTGTACTGATATGCAGCACCGAAACGGTTCATTGCTTGGATGACAAGGATAACAAGCAAAAGACCGACGAAATCCTATCTTGCTCTTCTGTGAAAGAAGCTTGGAGATGCTATGAGCTTCACTCCACAAGTACGAATCTCCAAGTGGACGCCATCGCAGCCGACCGGCTTCAGCCAAATGTAAAGGCAATGGGAATTCTTGACCAGGAGATATAGGATCTAGGATCTGAAATTTACGAACATTAGAATAACAAACAATTTCATTTCACACGGAAAGCACTGGCTTTTCAGTATTCATAACCTTTGGGGAGAGACCAAATGGAATATCAAAGCGAAGTTCCAGAGGCATGGATGTTGAGTTCAAAATTATTACCTGAAAAAGGAAATAGCAAAAGCAGACCCATTATTAGCAGGTAATAAAAAAACAAAGACAAATACGTTGTGGGATGAAGTCAAACTTACTGTTGAGTAAACTCTTATAAACTTGCTCTGTCGTTGCAGTGATACCTCAAACACAACAGGAACAACAAACCCATTCCCTAGACCAGCTTTACTGGTTTCTTCAACATTTGCATTGTCATTAGATGTCTTAGAAAAATCAACCTCGAAATAGGAAAGGCCAATGCGATCTATTGAACAAGGAGGCGAAGCAACAAATGTCCCATCAAGTTGAACCCTCATGTAATGATGTGTCACACCACTTGACGGTTTTCTGCTAAAACAACGACGATCTCCATGGTAGAAAAGTTGTTTATTACTGTCATCGAGATTAATGGGAACAGAAGCACCAGGTTGCACAGAGCTCTGAAGCACCGGAGATGACATATCGAGCACATCAGAATTATGTGCTTGGAAAACTTGGTATAGCAAAGGTAGCGAAGTCAAATTTTGAAATACATATGGAGCATATCGCTCTCCATATGAATTTCTCATGCAGTAAGTCATAGATAATCCTTGACTGTCAGGAATACCATCTGATCCCATCAGGCCCCAAGCGTTTTCTGCCATCTCAATTGTCCTGAAGATGCACTTCAGCAGGGGAAAAACGAAATGAAAATTTACAAACGGTAACAGATAATGCATAACTCAAATTCAGAAGATCCAAGGGGAATATGGTTGCTAGAATGTTACCATTCCCATATGAAAATCGTTATGGAAATAAGCACCAAAAACACACCCTAATAGAAGATTGAATAACTTCAGAACCAAAACTACTATTATTTTCGCATGGAACTCCATGATTTCAATGTTGTTAGAAGAAAGAGTGCAGTTTCCTCAATACTAAAAGTAAGAAAATCACGGTTTCACCAGACCAAGATGAAGGCCACACAAGTACAGAATAATATAACCAGTTGACTAACAGCTCTAAACTGAAGCACCATGACAATCAAGGTCAGCAGCACAGACTCTTCTACTGTACACTTACATAATAAAAAAGCAAAGTGGATGCAAAATAATTTAACAGGTAAGGTCCTATTCAACCTCATATTACCTCAAAAAGAGACTCCGTCAAGTTTACATTGAGCTGAGCTGTTGATGCAACAACGATTTCAGTTAGCCCAGATTTGTTCAGCAGAGCATTGATCCCAATTTTTCTGGCTAATTTGACATCAAAGTTCCAGGGCTCGATAAAAGGCTCCCACAAGACCTTCACCAAATATCCATGGTGATTATTAGCATAATCGCATGTCCAAATCAGAAATAAGATCTATGTGCTTTCTTTCGGCATCATACCTTATGCATATTATTATAGTTCACTTGAAGTTCACATGAAACTGTGCTCTCCACATTCTTTTCAGTCAGATTAGCTAGCAGGAAAAAGTTCCTCATAAGAACCTCAAGAAGCAGACCACCACAGCCCAACTGCATGAAATGGAAAATTAAGACTTTAGCAGAAAAAACTCAAGACTTCTAACCAAAGTGTCACACATACAGCTAAACAATATGGAAGCAAAACCATGATCTAGGATATTGATAATATCACTTTGTACTTTCTGCTCCCTTTTCTGCCTTGGTTTACCGTAAAGAAACAGTACCAAGAATTAACCGTCAGGCTAATTGTGATTTTGCAAGACAGATATTAACTGAACATAAAGATTGTACACCCTGGCGATCAAATGCATGAACTACAGAACACAAGTTGAATACAATCCCATATGCAAATGCAGCACATATTTAAGGTGAGAAGGAAGAGAAAGATCAACAATGTGGTGTCTTCATAAAAAATAATTTTGCATGCATAAATTAATTGAACAAAGAGAACACACAAGGCCGTGAACAATAGCAAGGACTACAGCAGAAACGGGGCTTCATGGTGACCCTATTATAAGCATAAGCAGAGCACAGTTAAGAGTGAGAAGTAGCCTTTTCATTTGGAAGGGCCATCAAGTAATGCGATTGTTATGAAATACCCCTTCTAGGCCCCTAGAGCATTAATATTGGAAAGGATAAAGATCAGTACATAAAGCACAAGCCATACCCTTCCATCTGATATTAGAACAGACACATCTCTTATCTGCACTTTTGCATTTGTGTTTCCTTGCTTAGATTGTGAAGATACCATCTCCGGGCCATCAAATGCAACACCATGCCAGAAGGATAAGACTTGATGAGACAAATGCATCTCTACATGGTCAGACAGTATCTCTGTACCAACATTTACGATTTTTCTCTGATCCATCTGAATCTCAGTCTCTACAAGTAGTTGTTCTACCCCGAATAGAGAGCAAGACTCAACAGCTTCAACTCCAGACGTTGAAACAGTTCCAATGATCTTTTCGAACTTACAGCTCACTTTAACATTTCTTCCAAGAAAAAAGAGCTCACCACTCTCATTAAATGCTGTAACCGATATATATTTACAGTATTTCCCTTTATAGATATTTACATTCTCATCCACAAATCTCTCCTGCATTTCGGTCCCCATGAGCCCTGGAGATGTTGTCCCACTACTGCAGAGGGGAAAATGAATTCTAACACCAATATTCTCTGCTTTTAAGGCGATAGTCATACCCTGACTTGAGTTGTCTGACTGCCCAAATTCTAACATACTTGAAACTTTATCTGTGTTGTCAAAACCATTTTTTACCACTTCTGTAAAATCAAACATATCTGGGTTCGAACCTCCTGACAAGACATGATCTTGGCCACTGTGTTCGAGTACTTTGACGCAAGAACTGAGAAGTTCAATGACTTCAGTCCAGTCAAAATAGTATAACCAGATGTCAAGGGATGGGAGAGCAAACCAGAGCTCATAACCATGAACTTCCTGTTTAGTGAATCTGATTCCAAGCACTGAGTAATCCTCATGTAGGTTGGCGCAACGAGCTAGCATGACTGAGTTTAACAGTGAATAAAGCCCAACATAAAAAAACTGAATCTCCAAGCTTACCGGCATATTATTTTCAAATGTTCCTGAAAATAAAAATTTCATATCAGTCTGGATCACTGGTTTCAACAGCTCGACCTCTTTTCTGACCCGATGCAGTTTCAGCCTCAAAAGGTTGACAAAACATCTGACTTCCACATAGTTTGGGAAAGATTCAAGGGGTACAACTGCTCTCTCCTGCTTTAGATGCTTCTGTGCACGAAGAAACTGAGGAACATCGGATGTGAATAATTTGGATTGCTCATCAACTAAGGAAACCTGATCTATGACATCAAGAATCGCCTTAAATCCCAGCAAAGCATTTGAATCTGCAAAAAGGTCAAATACTTATGGATAAATAGACAGATAGGTTACATCTATGTAGAGAGAAGAAAAAGGGAGAATGGAATCCTCGTATCTTGCAAAAGCCCAAAGTGCAAGACCACCTACCATCAGCCATAATTTCACAAACTCCAACCCTTCCCATGATACATGTTGAAGTGGAATATGAATAGTGATCACAAGGTATTCTAATCCAGACATCAGCACTGATGGGAGATGCGAGTGTGATGCTAGTGCACTCTGTATGCTGCTCGAATGATAAACTGCCATTCTTAGAGAGCAACAATGATAACGACAAATCCCGCCCAAATATACTTAAGCAATCAATACTCCCGGCTACTTGATTGAGTGGAATAACACATTCCTGTGGTACATGCTGCACCACATTGCACAGAGCACAGTCAGGTGTGAAGTTAATATATAACTGCCGAATGTCCACTTTCAGATGTTGACAATCATCATTTTCGACAGGTAGAATCAAAGTAGAGTCTAGTATCTCAAACTTGTAAGTAATAGCCAATTCAGAAAGTGGATCAATGAGATCAGTGGAATGAGTGATAGACTGCGTTCCTGACATCGAAGTCCAACCAGGAAGAGAGAAATATCCAATAATAATGGCCAAATATTCAGGAAGCAGAATGCAGCATGAGTGTTGAATGCCGATGCTGACTTCAAGTTCAGAACTAGAAGTCTTAAGATTACCTTTCCTTACCCGTACATTTAATACCGGAGACAGATTTGGTGATGAATGTCCCCAAAGAAAACCGTCGAAGTAGTTGGTCCACAAGGGTTGTTTCAGCATCAAATTTTCAACAGAGGAAACCAGATCCACAAGATCATCTGAAATGGTAAGCATGTATTTGGATACAGGGAGTATAATAGTTCCAAAAATGCTTGAAGAATCATGGAAATGAACACTGGCATCAAAGATGTGCGCTTCAACTGTGAACAGAGTTGTCTGACCAAAACCTCGGGAGGAAGAAAAAACATTCGAAGAACAGTCACATTTTTCACCTTGACAATCCAAACTACCTTCTGTCCAATCCTTTTTATTCCTTAAACAGAATATCTTCCTCCAGTCAGGTATTGAATAACAGAGCGAACTGTCCAGACTACCAAGGGAACCAGAATTGTAAATCGTCACAAATGGATATTTGTCCATAGGAATGCAGCCACATGAGCTCTTTTCAATGAAGTTAGAGAACCCAAACCTTTCAAATCCAAACCAAGGTACTTCCTTTTGCGTACAGAATTCTGTGGTTGGGCTACCTTGATTCTTATCAGTGGAAGAAATCTTATTAGAAGATATCTTACCAAGAAAATCAGCCAGCAAGCCAAATATATACGGGTAGCAATGGAGTTCAGTACTCCTCCAGAAGATTGTACACTTGTGGTGAACAAAATCTACACTCCTGTAAGCCTTGTAATGTAAACGAATAACATCTTCAGGAAGTGCCATATTATTAATGAGATTGGCGTGGTTACTACATTGAACATCCACCCCCCTTCCATAGGCAGAGGATGAAGTAAGTAGATTCCCAGATGAACAAAGGCTATGACAGTCAGCTCCATTTTCTGAGCAAGCAATCATTTCCAATGCTTTCATAAGGATCGACCATTCTTCAAACTCCGACAGTGAATACCTTCAAAATCACATTTGATCACGAGAATCCATCAGAGAAAAGCATGTGCTACAATATGTTATTCAATGCAAAAAATAGGGAGAAAAAACCTTTGATAATGTATTGAATCACAGATATTTATTTGACACTGGCATTGGTTGATAAGGCACAAGCAATAATGTGTGCACTTAATCATTGCAAAGTAAAAGAAATATAAGGGTTTGAACAGCAACACAATCAACTGCTTCACAAAAGAAGTAAATTTCATATAGGCAAACATTGTAACAACGACTAATGATGTTAGCTTTATAACTAAAGGTTAACTTTTAACTGACTGTCAAGACACAGCCAATGGATTTATTGATCCAACGCTTACCCACCAGAGATCAAGTTCTCGTAGAGAAAGAATAAGCATTGTGCTATTTTCTTCATTATTCGCAAGATTGACATGCAACTTAAGAAGTGCCAAATTTGCATTGATGGTGAAGGCAAAATGGACAGAATCCGCATCGGATGTAGCATTATGAGCTTCACGATTCCAAATATCAAGGTATTGAATCACAGACATTACTGCTTGGCAAACTGATGGAGAGAAATGTACATCAATTGTAGATAGGGTAGCAGCAACCTGAAATGAATAGAATGACGGAGAATCAACCTTAAAAACACAAAACGTGTTATCTATCTCGTCAGGCTAGAGAATCATGAAAGTGTGGTATTAAGGACCAACGAGAGAATTATTTCATGCTCTCAGCTAAACTAAACATGGCGACCCATACAATATCCAGAGCATATCAAAGGCACCGCAATTTAAAAAAAAAAATCCATACCTCCAACTGCTTCAAACTTGGTTCCTCTGGAACTATACACGAAACTAAGTTGATAGATATGGATGATCTCTCTAAAACAGGAATTACATCGAGAGGTTGAACCTCTGTTACCCTCACCTGCAGAAGACCAAATTGTAAGAAGACACAACAGCTCAAAAGATCTCAATTGAAAAATAGAGCAACATCTCTGACCTCAAAACCACATAGATTTATCTCAAAATGATCATATAGATCTTTGATTTGTAAATCATTAATGGAGGTAACAGAACTTTGGAAGCCATCCACAATATATGACCACTCTCTAGGATTCGGATTAAGAGAATCTAAGCTATTGGACGTAATGTAAAGAGATTCCAGTACAAAAACCTGCAGGAATAAGTGTGGGGGGAAACAGAGTCAGTAAGTGTGAATAACACAAGCAAGTAAGGCGAGCAATCAAATGTTTAATATAGGAGATATACCAGGTTATAGCTTTCTGGTTCAACTCCAGGGAGACGTAATATAATGTTTTTGATGCTCACGTCCAACTTTATTTTATCACGGTTTGATAAGAGGTATCTATAAGACAAGCCACAGCCCAAATCACACGTTAGCGATCAATTAAGTCATGAGTCTACACTAGCGTTTCAATCTAGTCTAGTGAAAAGACTCACTTGGCTTTCGCTGATAATCGTGTTTTGTCATCAAGGCCATTTAGGGATGATAGAACCTGCACAACAATGGAGACAAAATGTTCTTAATTTTCCAGCATCTAGTGAAAGTAATATAAGGTTTCTATTTTTTATGGCACTTATTCCAAGAAATGAATTGAATTCGAGTATGAAACAAAAACAAGGTGAAATATGTTGTTGTAGTACAAGAGAACAAAATAAGGGTGAGGGGACCTAAAACTTATTCTTTCCCAGTAAAAAACAGTAGGATCAGTAAAAACTGAACACCAAACACTGCTTTATATATAAAACTTAGTGCAGAACTGGGTATTTGAAGGTCCAAATATAAATTTAAGAGCCATTCAAGGAATCCAGATGAGTGACTGGAAATACATAGACTTATATTTTCCATTTATTATCAACACAGGAAAAGAATAAACCCCCAGTAGTCCACTGTCCTTATGTAAACTCCCCTGTAACCCTGTTTACAGCCAATGGATAGACCCATGCATTCTCTTTATATGCCACATTATTATCAAAATTTCTTGTCAAGAGCTACCAGGATCTCAATCTATTTGATTTCCACTCATGCGTTCATCAGAAAACAAAGGTCATTGGTCTCACAGCTTGTCCATCAAACTCCAGATGAAAGGAGATACAGTTTGCAGGATCTATTTTTAGATTTGTGATCACTGCCAATACCATTTCCTTTAATGTTAAACATTCCATCCTTTAAAAAAAGTTAATAAACGTTCCCCCTACAAATACTTTGAGCGGATATAGTAAAAATAAGAGCTCACCCGTTCATGTTGAAGTTTAAAGGATCTTGAACCAAAGAAAAAATTGCTAACAGCTAGGAAGAAGTCCACATCATAAGTTGCCTCGAGGGGCTGGAGGGTGACCTAGACAGATAAGATGACAAAAGAAACCACAAATCACTAAAAAGTCCCTCCAAAACAGAAAGCCACTAACAAAACACCAAGCACAATGCCAAAGGAGCAACAGATGAGCTCCGACAAAAATGCTGATGCATGCTGATGCAGCATGCAGTTAGATCACCTTCAATGATAATTCAACGTCATGATCTTGAGACACCTCCACCTGGGCTCCATATGATGGTTTAACTTCTAAAGCATCGCTCTCGGAGCAGGCCTGCACAGCCCAACACAACTAAATTTTTCTGGCAGCTGTATGAAGAAGACTACCAGAACGTTTATATAATGGAGCATAAACCCTAAACCCTAAACCCTAAAGTGCGTACACCTCACTTACAATATTCCTAACTTTAGTTATCGCTATTTAAGCAACTATCAAAAAATGGCATAGCCATAAGTTAAGATACGAACCCCTTTCATAGTGAGGATTTCTTTCCCATTTTGAGGATAGAACAATCTTCCAGAAAGAACAGAAGCAGTGACAGCTGTGAATCCTTTTGAAAACTTGCAGTCAACAACCACCCCCAAAATGCCCAACTCTGTTACTACTTGACAAGAATGCCTAGGAAATAAAAATGAGAAAAAGAAAAATTGAGGAAAAACAAAACTACTTCACTAGTGAACTTGGACATAGTGATAAATAAATGGAGCGTCTTATCTACTTACCCATATACGCTTTGCAAAACAGCAGAAATTTTGCGTATTTTGAGTCTTACGGAACATGTACAGATCTTATCGCTAGCACCAATATTCCTAGGAGATGAAGCAAGAGGATGAAACTTCGTTGCTTCATGTATATCCTGCAGAAAGTTCAAAGTAGTAGGATACCACGATGAATTTTGAAACTCCATATCCTTCAACTGGAAAAAATTACCTTGACAATTTCATCAGAAACAACTCCAGAAAACTGACTAGAATCATCTGTGCCTCCTGCACCAAGCATTCCCCGGGACAGCCAGTTCAACCATCCACGGGACCTATTTGATGAGCGATCATCACTCTGTTGCTTTTCAGAGGCATTGACACCAGACCCTCCCATGTGCATAGTTATGTCTGAGAAAGCTTCCTGTATAAAGAGACAAGACAAAAAAACGTGGCAGCAGAGATAAGAAAATGCCCATGAAAAAAATATATCTTTTTCCTTATTATGTTATTACGGAGATTCAAATAACCTTAGCTAACTCACTTAAAAATACACAATGCTATAGAGCAAACAGAAATTCAAGCATACCTGCATCTCACCTTCTGCAACAGACCTATAGCTTAAGATATCATCAATGTCAGACTCTTTCTCCACTTCTTCCAAACCCAAAAGGACGGGATCACTAATGGACTGTAATTAAGTATACAACCATATCAGAAGGCAGAAATGCGACTGTATTTCTTCTTGAAGATATCTTGTGAGAACTAGGGAATGCATGGACTGTAACCAAATATACAATTAGGACATCATACAATCTTGTGAGAACTCCAGGCATTTCTATTTCCTAAATATAGAAGAAAATATCCTTACCTGTTCTCTCTGAAGAAACTCTAGTTTTATCTTGTACAGGTTTATATACATCCGGCGTTTGCTCCTGCAATTTAATACCAAAACAAAAGTCAGAAAATCAAATGGATTGTTCGAGCTTATGACAGGAGTATCCATTACAATAAATGCCGAGCAGCTTTAAATGCATTAAAACAGATGGATTGAAAATAAGCATCATCTATGAAAAAGTGAAGATGCAAGAAAATAAACTTACAATCGCTGTCCGAGAAATCTCCATGAAGTTTTTCGTAGTTTCTTACGGACATCGAACAAAATAGATTCTTGGGCATAGTGCCACCAAAGTTTTTGCCATCCTGGTGGTTTTCTCGATAAAGAATTAGAAGAGGGACGATACCGCCCATACCTATACCATATTGTATATTGACAACTTAATGCTCACAGAAGCTAAAACGCTCCAGAAATCAAATAATACAACTATATTTTCAGTATTATAAAAATACTGCAAACCTGACAAAAGGCCTACCTCTCTCGCAATTGGCTTGTTTGCAAGTAATCCAACAAAATCATAATCTGTTGCAACTGAAACTCATTCAAAGTCATAACCTGAAAAGTAAAAGAATGAAGTTACAACGAGTCACACACTAGTAAGTAAATGCTACTTCTTAGCATAACCCAGTAGTAAGGAAAACCCACCACATCAGTCAACTCAGCAGTGACAGAATACTGAGGCTGATCATCACCAAGCTCTCCAGATCGATTAACCTAAGAACATAATTAATTTAAGAAGGGAAAGTGGAATACATATAAACACTAGCAATAGCTATTACATATATAAAAAACGTTAGACATATATACAGTAGCCATGTTTTGCTTATTTAATAGATTAACTATTTACGAAAAAAACACATTACATACAAAAATCATCTTTGACCACATAGATAGCCGCAAAAGCTTTCAATAAAACAAATCCATATAGAGCTGATAGTGAATCCATACAAAGCGGACAAAATTAATAAGACTCCACATCCATAAAGTAGCCTGGAAAAGACCGATTCGTATCATCATTCTTCCCTAAGAAAGACCAAAAAATGGGATTGTAGCATTATAACATCTGGCCTCAAAGACATGGATTAAGATACTCCTTAACTCCATCAGCAACAGATAAATTCAAAAGCAGGATTACAAAACCAGACATAACACCAAAATGTATGAACCTCATTTACTAACAAAAACTAAAAGCTAGACCAAGCATGCATCACTCACAAGTAGCGACAGAGTTTTGAAAAACATGAGGCTGTTTTAGCTCCATTACCAAAAGCGTTACACCAACACGGACCGGCTTCAACAAATAACCAACTTTATCGCTTTGCAATCTTGAATCGCACCAGATGTCAAAAACTCCTTTGCTATCAACACTCAGAAAGTCAGCATTTCCCTCATAAGTGTCGCAATAAATTTCCAAAGCTTCAATCTCCACAAGCTTATTCACTTGTCCTCCTCTCACCCTACCAAGAGATGGCCTGACAAGCAAGATAACTACACTTTCAGAGTATTCCAGCATGCACAGATATCAATCACATGTCTTGGAGACATAGCAACTAAAGTTGAATGATGGAAAAAATATATATATAAACAAAAGAATAATGTAAAAAAAGCTGCAACGTGGTGGTAAAGGCAAATTATTATACTCTTCAATGCTCTTAATGTAACTTAAAGCATAGCTTTTTACCTTTGTCTAAAACAAAATAACAAGAACAGACACTTATGAAAAAATAGAATAGGATGCTAAGTGCCAAAGAAGATCCATTGAGAAATTACCCAACAAAGTTTTGCCTAGTAACGGTTAAGCTTGAAAACCTCAAACCTAATATAACTGGTACCTGTAGACAGAAGCTTCAAATCAAACATACAAAAACGGAAAAGGGGGCATAAACACAAAATGGTTATTCAATCAATATTTTGGAAAATCATAACAACAATAATATGAAAGGATTTTTTATCAGCCTCGCTCATAGGCTTCTAGCTACCTATTTCTCTATCTTCCATGTCATGCATTCTTTGCTCTCGTGATAAGACCAATGATACATTAGATGTTATCGCCAAATGCAATATCAACAATTTACATAAGCTCCTTAGCAACTAAGTTATAGCACTCACTTTAGGAAATCATAAAGCCAAAGAACGATGAGACTTACCGACTCAGGTTGTGTATCATAGTACAACACATGAAAGTTTCTGATTGATACTTGGATGCTATCGAGAATCTAAATCGATAAACAAGAAAAGTTAATACATCAGAACGAAGAAGCGAATGACTCTTAACTTCCACGAAAATAAAAGACTCATGTCAAACTGAAAATCGTTATGAAAAACAAAAATGCTTAAATAAATAAGAGAGGTATCATCCAGAACTAGATATCACCTTGGCAGCTATATATGACATAAAAAGATTCCCCGCTGGACTATCTGGAAAATATAAAAGGGGAATGAGCAAAAAAGTATGGAACCAAACAAAACGCCTCAGATAATCATTCTCCATTGTATCAATTTGCTTTATCCATTAGAGACTCAGAGAAACTATATACATAATGCACATTCGTGCAGTCTAATTCAACTCGTAACTATGAATAAGGAGATGAAGTATATTGCTCACCGCAAACACGTCTAGACAATTTTGCCAGCTCTGCAGCAGCAAGCTTAGCTTTTTTCCCCGCAAACTCTCTTCTCTCAACAGCATCTGAACTCCACTGCAGCAACCATGGAGGTTGGGTAAAGACAATGCTTCTCATCTAAAGAACAAAAGTACTTAGAGAGGGAATCAATCACCTCTTGATCACTGCGTTGAGACACGGATATGAAGACACTCTCTAACATAATGATGATGGGTTCCCTGCCAAGCTTCTTCCATGGAATTTTTATGCTCAATCTCCCTACCCGCCCTGTCAAAAAGAGATTCCTCGTGGACAAAATTAAGGTTGATAGATAGGACCCAGAAAAACCAAACAAAACCAAGATTATATCCACTCAATCACCTTGTTTCAGAGCGAAGGGCAACTGCAAATACTCGAAGGCCTCGAGAATCAGTTCCACGTTCTCCAGTAGAACCTCCTCTGCAATTACAAGAACAAGAAGCGTAATCATCCGAACAAAGAATCGGTGTTAAATTCATCGGAAACGTCGAAAGATTAGCGAAATAAGTAGTAGTCACCATTCCAGACAGTGATCTTGAGCTGGTCTTTGTGGATATCTTTGATGTAGCGACCCAGATATCCCAACAACAACTGACGCACAAGCCCTTCGAACATTTTTCAGCCGATAACATAATCAAACTGCACACTCTGCTTTGCTTTGTCGGTGCGACAAAGCAGACGGTGATCGGAGAAAGGCAGACGACTCTCGGAGAAATGGTAGGGTTCTTAGTTTTGCGAAGAGGGACCTCTTCTCCAGAGGGAAATGTTCTCTTTCCCCAGACCGGACCGAAATGAACCGGACCGCCGGTTTTTATTTGGTTCTTTGAGCTATTTTGTATAATTTAATTTTTTAGATATTCAAATTTCAAGATATATCCAATACAAATTAGAGAAAGTAGTACAAAAATATTGTATGTATGATATATGGAATTAAGCTCGCAAGTTTTAATTATTTTTTGTGGATAGTAACAGAAAAAAACTGTTATGGATTTAGATTTTGGTACATATATATCATTTGGTTTATTAAAATCTATATATAAGAATTCAGATTTTAGGTTTTTAAAATTAAATATATTTTTTTTACTTCTGTCTAAATTGAAGTCATGTTTTTTTTTTCAATTTGGACATAGATTATTGTGAATATAACTCAACAATAATGTGAAGGTTTTCATAAATTATTATGAATAGTGTAGGTAATATTTTTTTATATAATAATATATAATATACACATTTTGCAAATCTCTACTCATATTATTACCTGCTGAAAATTTATAAAAAAAATAATAAATTAAAAAATTAATATTTATTGTCAAATTTTCTTGAATAAAAGCTAAATTTTATTATTTATATTTTAAAACTCGAACTCTTATATTCGTAGTTAAATAAATCTAAATTTTATAAACCATATTAAATTAACCTAAATGTTTATATGATGACCCATAAACCACATTAGAAATGATTTGGACTTGTTGCAAATCTCGGAGGATATGACGCAAAATCGAAAGGAATGGAAAAAGAAGAATTCATGCGGTCGACCCCAAATAAATTTGGGATTAAGGCGATATATTGTTGCTGTTGATATGATAACCGGAACGATTATATAGTAATTTTAATTTTGACTCGACATTGTAACATCATCTACCACGTAATAAATAAATAACATGTCATATTTTTATTTTAAAAAATTTAAAAATTCTCAAAAATATATATACATATATATAATATATATATATACATGTAAATATATATTAATTTTTTAATAATATTTTAAAATTATCATGCCATTGTTCGAGTTTAGAATTAAATTTGAACTAGTTTATTAAAGTTCGGGTTTATTTTAATATGAACATCATAATTTGGATTTTAAAAGGTAAATGATAAAGTTCAAATTTTATTTAAAGAATTTTGACAAATTCAAGTATTAATCTTATAATTTCCCTAAAAAATATTTTTTTTCTTGGTCAAAAGATTCATATTCCGTTCCTTTAAAATCACTGCAAAATTGTCACAACTTTTACAAAATATAAGCTGAATAACCACCACAACCAAAAAAACCATTGAGGCTACAAACCTTTTTTTTTGATGAAATTTGGGTATATTAATAATAAAAATAAATGGGACATTGTCCAGGATACATAATCCACAGAACAAGCATTGCGCTATTTTTCCTTACATTAGGATACACTTGTACAGACCTGGCTAAACAATCAGACTATTACGTAGTTCAGTAGAGAGTAAGAGAGTACCACTTTTGAAGTAGAATATTGTTGTCACTGTCCCTGCCTTGTTGTAGGGATAGGAGAGAATTCCTTATCGATTGATCCACTCGTTTCCGCAGGACTTGTGGCGTGATTGAAGAGTTCCCAAATATCCGACTATTCCGTTCCTTCCATAATTCATAGACGGTGTGCTGGACCAGGACCTTTATGAGGACCTTTCTCCTGCCTTCATCTGATAATGGAACTCCATCTGCCCAGGCTTTGCAGCTAGCTAGCGTTGTCGGAGGGTTGTGCCAGAGCTTATGTGCCAGTATCGACCACGTCTCGAAGCTGTACGGACAGCGGAAGAACAGGTGCCCATGAGATTCCTCCTCTTCATTGCATAGAACACAATTTGCATTCTGTATGAGATTCCATCTACGCAGCCTGTCACGTGTAGGCAGTCTACCTTGCATAGTCACCCACTGCATAAAAGCGTACCTGGGAATTGCTTGCTTAAACCAAACCATTGAGAACCAGTCCACCTTTGCAGCAGGCTCTCTAATGAGTTTCCAAGTCATGGATGCTGAGAATATCGACTTGTATCCATTATCAGATGTTTTCCATAGAAAGGTATCCTCCTCCTCGTCGCTGGTGAGTGGAGCCTTCATTCCTAAAAGTTGTATGTGAAGCTCTTGAATTCTCTGGGTTCGTGCTCCAGGGAGTGTCCAATTCTCGTTCTCTGTGGCTTCAGTAACCTTCGCTTGTAAAGGTAGTCTGAGTAATCTTGGTCCATCATTGCCGATATAGTCAATAAGAGGCCCTAACTCCGTCCAAGGATCATGCCAGAAGAACGCTTTTTTCTCGTTCCCTATCTTACAACGAACAAATTCCTTGGCCAAATCTCTCGTTTTCATAAGCTTCCTGATGTTCCAAGACTGTCTTGGCGTAGGTTTGGAGTGCCAGAAGGATCCGTGTCGCAGAATATTAATCGTCATCCAAGCTACCCAAAGGGAGCTCGCATCCCGAAAGAGTGCCCAGATCATCTTAAGGCGGAAAACTTTATTGAGATCTTCCAGCCTTTTGATGTTTAATCCACCTTCGCATCGGGGCTTACAGACTGCTTCCCATGAGATTCTAGCCCTCCCAGAGCTCGTTGTCGTGTTTTTCCAGAGGAAGGTAGAGCAGAGCCGGTCGATTTTTCGTAATACAGCTTTTGGCAAAAGAAACACCTGACACCAGCTATTTACCATACCATAGATTACTGCAGAAATTAGTTGGACTCTACCTGCGTATGAGAGAAATTTCGTTGTCCAATTGCTGATCTTTTGGCGGATTCTGTCCATTAACGGTTCATAGTCTGCTGCAAGGAGCCTTTTTGGGTTCACTGGTAAGCCCAAGTATCGCATAGGGAAGGTGCCTATTGCGACACCAAGGACTGAAGCTAGCTCCTGTTTTTCTTGTTCTGCAATACCCCCAAAGTATATTTCTGACTTTCCTGCATTTATCTCCAACCCAGATCCATGTCCAAACCAAGTCAAACTGTTTCTCACAGATTCCAGCGATGACTTAGAGGCCTCACTGAAGATAACTAAGTCGTCGGCGAATATCAGGTGGGTAATCAGAGGTTCTGCACACTTGGAGTGTCAATGGAACTGCCCAAGTATGGCACCTCTATCCAGTTTCCTTGTTAGCACCTCCATAGAGATAATGAATAGGTACGGAGATAAAGGATCACATTGCCGTAGTCCTTTTTTTCCTTTGAAGTGGCCCGATAACTCCCCATTGATGTTTACCGAGAAACTAGTGGTTGTTATACACTGCTCTACCCAATGAATGAAGATATTCGTAAAGTCCATTGCCTTTAGAGTTTGTATTATAAACCCCCATTGGACAGAATCAAATGCCTTACGTATATCAAGCTTAAGCATCGCATTCTTCCTGCATCCCTTAGTGTTATAATCCCTGACCAATTCAGATGCAATTAGGACATTCTCCATCATGAACCTTCCACTTTGAAAGGCTGCCTGGTTGGTTGAGATGCAATTGACGAGCAGAGGTTTGAGTCTCTTTGAAAGAATTCTCGAAATTACCTTGTATATGGTGGTACAACAACTAATTGGTCTGTAATCCACAAGCTTATCTGCCCCAGGTTTTTTCGGTACCAAAGTGATAGCAGTGGCATTGAATCCCCTGCACAATGTGCCTGATCTGAAAAATTCTGATACTGCGTCTACCAAGGCAGGACCAGTGATCTCCCATGTGGCTGTAAAAAAACTCTTTCGAAAAACCATCCGGACCAGGGCTTTTATTCTGTGATAATGAACGAAACGCAGACTGTATCTCCTCCGCAGTTACTTCTTTTGTCAGTAAAGCCTGATCCGTACCTGAGCATCTGAAAGTTAGCAAATCTCTCAATTCCTCAAGTTGAATCAATTCTCTTGTTTCCACATGCCCACCATATAAGTTGCTGTAAAAGTCTATTACATGGTCTTTGATTCCCTCTTTGGATGAGATTCGAGTCCCCTCCGTAGTGAGCAGGTAATGAATGTGATTCCTTGCTGCCCGACCCTTTGCGACTCTGTGAAAATAACCCGAGTTTCTATCTCCCAGCTTCAACCACTGGATCCTTGATTTCTGTCTCATGAAGCTTTCCTCTGCAGTCATCATAAGGCTCCATTCTCTTCTAGCCTTTTGCTCAGCTTGTACTAGGTCTGGGGTTGGCCTCTGCATCATGATTTCCTGAACTTCTGATAGTTTATTGCTCAGTTCCTTTACTCTGCTCGAAATCTGGCTGAAGTGTCAGTTGTTCAGGCCTCTTAGCGGCTTTTTTAGCCCCTTCAGCGCTTGCTTAAGCCTTTCTTGTTTATTGCCTTCGAGTGAGTCGTATTTCCAACTCTCCTGAACCACCTGCAAGAAGTTTGGGTGAAGTGCTATGTGTGGAAAGAACTTGAATGATTTCTGAACCTGAGTTGAAATTCCAGGGAAGTGTATCTTGCTCGGAGCATGGTCCGAAGGGCCTGGGGTCATAAATTCCGTAAATGCAGCCGGAAACCTTTCAAACCAATAGTCATTGATGAGGACCCTATCTAGTTTAATTGCGACCGGATCAAGCTGATGATTATTCCACCACGTGAATTGCAACCCTCTATAAGGCATGTCGAATAGTCTTGTTTCCTCAATACAACTTCTAAGATCATCCATTCCCTGTGAGGATGTGGCAACATGCTGGTCAGACCTCTCATTGTGATGCAACATTTGATTAAAGTCCCCAAGTATTACCCATGCACAGTCTTTGATCATATGATGCCTACTCAATTCCGTCAACTCAGCCCATACTTCTCTTCTCTCCAAGGCCGTGTTCTTTGCATAGATAAATGTGGCTGCCAATGTCAGTTGTAAGCTAGGAATAAATACCCCACAAGTAATAGATTGACATGAAACCTTGTAAATGTGAAGAATAACTGATGGATCCCATATTATCCAAATTCTACCGGATGGATCTGCTCCATGATTACAAAAGGTCCTCCATCCAAAGGGAACCGCAGCGCGGATTCTCGAAGCATTCAGCGGTCTGATGTGAGATTCCAGTAACCCGCCCACCAAAACTCTTTGGTCCAGAATCCACTGCCTAATGCTATGACTCTTATTCCTATCATTCAACCCTCTTGTGTTCCAGCAAAAAATCATGGAGCTAGGTTTTTTTTTTTTAGTTACGTTTCTTCTGCGTGGTTCTGCAACCACGCTCTCTTGGCCTTACCAACGTGTAACCATCGTCAGGTTCCTTGATCCCTTTCCCACGCTGTGAGTTGGTAGGGTTTGTTGGAATGGTTACCGGTGGGTTTGTTCGAATGGTTGCCACAGAATTAGTAGATTGTCCAACCATTTCCGAGGAATGTTCAGGCTGTGTTGGTTTACCACCCACTGGCGAAGGGGTTGCAACAGTAGCCAGATTCTGCGCAACTGATGACTCTTCCTTACCTGGAGAGCTGTCTACATTGGTCTCTGCCACCTTCTCAATTAAGCAATTACCACGTCCCTCACAGTCCTCTTGATTCCTGCTACCTGTCTCTGGGCCATTCATGTTTCCCATTACGGGTTTACTTTCTTCTCCTGATCGAGCTTTTTTTTTCTTCCACTGGGGTCTATTTTTCTTCTGCTGATTACCTACCTCGGATGTCGGTATATTTGGGCAATGTTTTACATTATGCCCCACCTCTAGACAGTGGTCACAGCTCGGTGGCAGCCACTCATATGCCACCGAGATGAATCTCTCCTCTTCACCCGGAAGAGTAATTGCAATGCTCTTCGGCGGAGGCTTTGCCAGGCTGACCTCAACGTAGATCTTAGCAAAATTAAACACCTCTTTCGCCTCTGTTAATGGGTGTAAGTATAATGGCTCACCGACACATGTTGCTATTCTGCTGAGACTATCTGAGTCGAACAGCTTCTCCGACACATTTGTGAGTGTCACCCAAGTAGGCACCGAATGCAGTGCAGGTTTTTCCGGCCTATGGTTAGGATTCCAAGCAGATATAAACATCGGGCAGTCTCCAATGTACCAGAAATTTCGCATCAAAATGGATGATTTTAGCCGAGCGTTTGGGATCTTGAAGAGGAAAGTTCCTTTCCCCATGTTATGGACACGGATTCTTGCTCCGCCCCTTGCCCATATAGCGTTGACGACGCCAATAATCTTGTTCATGGTTGGCGACCTGCCGTAGAACTGGCCGATAATGAAATCATCCCACTCCTTGCTCGACGCTTGGAGCATCTCAGGGATGAATTGCACCATAGGTACACCCGATTGATGGTTTTCCGGATTACCTGTTTTCCGCAATGTTCGAATCGAACTTTGCAGTAGCTTGCTCCAAGTGGTGGGGGGTCCCGATCTCTTTCTGAGTCTGGGGGTCTTCCCCTGAAGGCGGCTGGACTGCTTCTGATTGGCTGTAGATTTGCGGCATGTTCAGCTTCGGTGTGGGGTTTGGGGCAGAGTTTGATAGGGGGAAATTGTGCGGTTGCGGATCGAAGTTGAGGGGGCATTTTGCCGGACAGCAGTGGCCGATCCGGTGGTTTCTTTTCCGGTCGGCAGTGGGCCGGCCGGTTGGCAGTCGGGGTAGGTTGGATTTAGCGAGTCGCACCCAGCTTCACCCTAGGAGAGAGAAAAGCTCCATTCTACCTTGAGTACTTGAGGCTGCAAACTTAGTAAGAAGTAAAGTATCATATTAGATACCCCAAGAGAAAGAGGTTAGCATCATATAGTATTTTCCTGCATAAGTGCTCTGATCATCGAAACCAACGGAGTAATAGCTCAGATACAAGTTCCGGTTTTGTTATCCGGAAGGCAGCTCCTATTCGACGCAAGGTTTTGTCGAAGTGCTTGAAACAAGTATCCACGTCAGAGTAGATAGATTGGTGTAGCCTACTATTTCTCTCTCTTCATATGTGATTAATAATAGCTTGCCAAGCTATTAATCCTATGGTTTTGGAGTTCCGAGTTCCGCAGTTTCGTTTTAACTACAGTATAATGTTAAAAATCTGATTTTTGGTATCTAATCATATGTTTTGTTCATCGAGTCTTAATTTTTTTTAATCTGAAAATTAGAAACGAAATGTGAAAATTTTCAATTTCGTCGCCCCTCTTAACCCTAATTCCTCGTATTCCTCGTCGTCATCGTCATCGTCATCATTTGCTCTTGCTCGCCCTAGTCCTTGTCCTCACAATCTCACTGTCACCAAGCACAAAAAGACACTATTATCGGAAGGATCGGAGATGAAGTGGTGATTAGGAATTAGGAATTTGGGGATATCAATCAATGTGTGTACGTGTATATATATATGTATGCGTGTGTTTAAAATATTAACAGGATCAGGTTGTAGGCTTGGTGTTACTAATAATTTGTAAATATTCACACGCGCACACACACACACATATATATATATATATATGATTCAATGCAAATGTTTAAAATCCAGATTTTATAACGTTAATTTATCCTTAGGGGTATAAATATGAACGGTGAATATGAAATCGTAATTTTGGTAAAATTTTAAGGGACAAGTGTGAAGATATCATAAGTAATTTTTTTTTTTTTGTAAAAAAGAGTAATTTTCAATAACTTGATTGATGTTTTAGAAAATGCTAAACAAATTTAAAATCAACAAATTGATTTTTTTTTTTATAACGGAGCGTCCTGGGCCGAAGCCCAGACTAATCTTCAGACCGGGAGCAAGCCATGTGCTTTGAAATATTCGCTCTCCTCCCCACCCTGGGGCTCGAACTTGGGGCGGGACAAGTGCTAAATCAACAAATAGGTAGTAGTTCATGGCATTATATATACAGGAAAAATGATTCTTATAGTTTTCATATGTAAATCTAAAACGACGTATTAATTCAAAAGATTATTATCTTGAAGATTTTAAAATTTTCAATGGATTCGGAACTGTGTTTATTATTTATGTATGTATGTTTTTTTTATGAACCATGACGTTAGATCATCATGGTTTCGATTTCCGTATATACTACTTGATAAAAAAAAATCTAGCACTTGAAACTCGTTGGGATTTTGATGCTTAAAGAAGCCGATGATATTTGAGTTCTTTGATCACTTCATCTTAATTCTCCTCCAAATCACTTTTTATTTATCCCCATATATATATATATATGCTTGGCATTATGAACTACGAGTTTTGTGTATAATCTTGAAAAGAAGAATCTGAAATATTTCACATGTTTTGTTACTGCTTCTGACCAAGGCGGAGACATCGGATTCGGACAAAGTACTCGAACACGATATTGAACACAAGTCGTCGTTGTGCTTCACTTGTTCTGATCCCTTGCCTTGATCTGATTCTTCTCTTGATAGAGGCCTTTTTCCATGCATTGTTCGCTCTCACACCAATCGGTTAATTTTGGCTAGGGTTTTTGTTTTTGTACTTGTAAGATTAAGGAAAAAAAATGTTGGTATATATATATATATACACACACAGAGAGAGACGGATCTATATCAGTGTATGGGGACACATGCCCCCACTCAATCAATTAAAAACCATTTTTTCACACAAATTATAGAAAATTTTGAATAAAACTGTATAATACCCCTATAAAATTAATATTATTTATAATAAAAATAAAATTGCCCCCTCTTAAATAATTTTCTAGGTCAGCCACTATATATATATATATATATCGCAAGCATGAGCATATCATTTGGGATGATTTATATGGGCTTAAAGAAAATCTAGCCCAAATGTGTTTGGATCTCCTAAGCCCAACAATAAAAGCGTGCCTCTGACTGACATGACGTGGCACCTACGTACCGCTAATAGAGTTTTTCGCTTCCCATGCATGCAACGTACACGTCGCTACATACATACATATATACATGATGATGATGATGATGATATATTTGTTTTTTGCTGATGATGATGATGGATGACAGTCGTGTTAAATGGAAGATAAAGCTGCACGTGCTGAAAATAGAGCGAGACACATCGACGCAACGCAATAATGCAGAAATGGGCACAGGCAGGTGAGCGTCAGACTCGGGGGGATAATAATTGCGAGTCTTATCTCCGCTTGTTTTAAAGCACGTGTTGATATATAAAAGAATAAAATAAAACTAATTGCTTTCATTTTAAAATTCAATATTTTTTAGAATAATAGAAAAAAAAATTATCATTTTTTTAGTAGAATAATTCTATATAAAATCATAAATTGTGTAACTTTTATATGGAAGAATAAATTTTATTTATTTTTGTATAGAATTTATAAATTCATGATTTTATACAAAAAAAAAATAAAGTTAATAAATATATGGGAATACGATCAGATTTATAAAGTTTATGATTTATATAGAAATTATAAAGTTGAAGAATTTATATGATTTTTTTTTAAATCGTGATTTTTTTAGGATGTTGTCCGTTAGTCACGTAATATTTTTTTTTTTGTTTTATCTTGGCTTTTATTAATTGATTTTATTAAATTATATGTCGAACATGTTCGTCCTAATATAATATGCACTGTTCGAACTTCCAACATCGCTCTCCGCCACTGTTCGGTGAGGGACAAAAATCAACATTCAGAAAACTGCAAAAACACGACTTAATTAGCATCACATAATTTTTCCTCTCTTTGTGGTGGATGGACACAAATTTTATATTTTTAATAACTAACAAATAAAAAAATAGCCAATAATAAGAAAAAATAAACAAAACTAATATGAATTAGTGGTTCACATTTATTACAATTTTGTGTAGGTAAGATCTATACATTGATCGTATGAATATCGAATGTCTGCCGACGATTTGTGCAAATTTATGATATGGGGATCTGAATATAACAATCATGCGCATCTAATTCTATTAAAATGCCCATTACCTGAATTTATGTGATGGGGATATGGATACTGGCGTCACACTTTCCATTACTCTACTTATTTTTATTTTTTACAAAACTCGAACTTATTTATTGTTATAATATTTTTTTTTATAATCTAGAAATTCACGATTCAAGACTCTACTTACATCTTTCATAAAATCCGAAAAATCTATATAAATGTCTCTCCCCAACTGAAAATGGAAAAGAGCTTTAGTCTCTTCCCTTTCTTATCGTCATAATATTGCATCACTTATCTTTGTGTCAACTTATAACGCATTGCTTTGGATTGCCATTTTGTTTTCGGCCATCAATTTATATATTTACTCACAAAACGATCTTAATCTTATGTCATGGAATGGAATTCATCATTATCCATATCAAGGGGCATATTATATAAAGACGTTATTGTAAATTGTAATTCACTATACTCGGTAATTCTATAGTCATCATCCATGCTATATAAGAACATGTACATTACTCGAATAACGCACAAAAATCATTACACTACATTCACGCTTATCTTCTCTTTCTTTACGGGTTATATATATATATAAAGGTGACAGACAGTAAAAATACTCGGGAGATACTCCATTTATTGATAGATTAAGGCGGTTACAACACGAGAGACAAGACAGGAGGCCATATAGATATGGATCAAAGGAGGGGAGAGAAGTGAGAGAGTTTAGGTTTTGTAGTAAAGAGGGTTAGGGAGCTTGAAAGTCCTCCTTCCCGCGCTCTCCTTCTGCAGATCACTCCACTGATCTCCGATGTTCCCTATGATTGTGTATCCTCCCCTCTCCAGCTTCTTCCTCTCCTTCGACTTGTAGTTCACTATCTTCGCGTTCGATCCCGTCGGCCTGACGTGGCAAGCCGAGGTTCAACACCTGGAATTACGTAGGTAATTAGGGTTAAAAACCAAGTCTTTCTTCTATGTCCTAACACTATGATGCTTGTCAATTACCTGGGGGAATTCCAATGTATAGTTCTCCATCAATCTTGAGGGGTTTAACGATAGATTCTTCAAGAATCTCTTGGAATTTCTTTCCTATATATATATATACATATATTGGGATCCCATTACTTGAATATGGCCTTCTCCCAGAAGGTGTAACCGGCTTTCTCGAGGTTTGAGAGAGTGATTTCCCTAAGCTCCTCGTATCTTTCGGTGATCAGAACGGGTTTTATCCCTTTCTTCTGCAGGTTGTTGTAGAGATGCAATGTCTCCCCAAGAACCGGAGCTTCTCCAAGGCTTATCCACTTGTTGAATGCCTCCGAGTCCACACTCTCTGTCCTGAAAAAAACAATAAATTATCTACGTCATCCATGAAAATGCAAATATATATCTGAAATATAAACACATGTATATGTACATATATATACCCGAAGCCATTAGCTTGGTAGAAGGGAATGTTAGAGAGGAGGGTCTCGTCGAGGTCGAAGATCCAAACATTGACAGTGTCGTTCTTAAGGGCAAGTCCTTTGGCGTAATAGTATGCCTCTTTGCATATAGTTTTGGAATCTGCACGGTACTGATCGGAGAATGTCAAGTAATCCTCGACATATTCTTCGCAGTTCGCAGGGACAGTCTTGAAGTTGATGATGTTGTTCGTCTCGACACCAAGGTGCCAGCTTCGGCAGTTCGGGTAAGAGATCGACAGCCGAAGCTGCTCGGCCATATCTGGGTCGGTGACCTGTTCGATGAGCTCAGGCACCGTCATGGTCCGAGCGTTACAGACCGTGACAGTGGCCAAGAACAGCAGACAAGCAATTGGTAGGGTTTTCATCTTTCGGGTTCGTGTTTGTGAATATGGTTTTGTTTTTTAGATGATTGTGGAAAATGGGCAGCGTATAAGATGCTTTATATAGCGGGTTTTTGGGCCTTGCGAGATGCTATGACGTGGTAGGTTTTTCGCAACGTGACAAAGAGACCGGACATGGCAATCAAGAGGGATGGGGACAAGGGACCGTCATCGCTAACAACCACCACAAATTTAGAAGCACGTGATAAACGTGGGTATTAGCGACACGAAGACACAAATGGTGAAGAAGTGTCCAAGGATGACGAGAGCTATGTGAAGGAGCATTCGAAGCAATATGGAGAAACCCCAAGAAGGATCAGTCCCGGTTTGGTTAGTGTATTAACATTTGGTTTGGTTTTGGTTTCGGTTTAATTGGATTCAATCCCTCCATATCATGGGTGAATCCAATTCAATGACAATGGGGTCCTGTACCCATTCCTTTAATTAAAAAACATTAATTTCTTTATACATTTTATAATATTTTAAATAAATTTATTAAATATATCTATAATAAATTCAAATTTATTTCTAAAACTATAATAAATTTACTATTGTCTCCAACTGTAATTTTTTTTAAGATCTCCACATTGTCCCATTAAAGAGTCCTTTGTAATACATTATTATCCCATTTGAAGTTTAAACTTACACACATGATTTGCAATAAGAGATTCCGTACCCAAAAATTGACGTGAAGGATGCCGTTTCCTAATGGACCAATACCACTACTCTCGGCATTTATTTTGTATACTACGAATAAAAAATGGCTTATGCGCTTATACAAACGATCCAAGTTCTTACAGGAGAAAAGTCACTAAACATTAACAAAATAGAAAGATTTAAGCGAAGAGATGTCATATCATCATATGATTTCCTCCTCCCACTTGGCCGATCTTCATGATAGTTACGACCCTTCATCCTACCGTCGTCGTCTTCTTCCTTCCGGCTGCACTGTCATGCGGCTTATAGTCGCGGTCATCCTCCTCATCTTGCCCGTGCTTCCTCCCTCCCTCTACGGTAATGCTGTCTCCTATGATCATCCTGTGCTTCTCTTCTTCCCCACTCTTCTTTGGAATCAGATCTCTCTGAAGGGCGATCGATACCTTTCATGCACTTTCACTCGCTTTTTGTTTTCGTCACTCCTATTTTCAGGTTCGGTCAAGAAAGGAACGCTCTCGCCTCTCTGTTCGTCTACATTCAGCATCCTCGTACGCTTTGCTCTTTGGTTCACTGTCAACATCACCTTCATCAGTTTGCTCAAGCGCAGCCCGAAACATCTCCATCTGTTTCTCCTTTTCCAGCAGCAATCTGATGGGGCTGGGTATCAGAGATTTTTGCATCAGCAGACTCATCGGAACAAGAGGTGGAAGCCTCAAGATTCAACCTGGCCTCCTCAAGCTTCTGAGCAATCTCAGCATCAGAGTAACCGTGATCTATGAGCTTATCCTCGAGCATGACAAGCTTAAGGTGAATCTGACGCTTGCGGTCGTGCTCAAGGATGTCTTCGTTGGGCTTCTTGGAGAGACCAGCTGTGCCCTGACCATCCTCAAACCCTATTCCACCATTAACGGGCTTACCGGTAGACTTAGGCTTCACAAAAAACTTGTTGCTCTGAATGTAACCATTGGTCCCTGAACCCCTCGGTGTCTGTAACCCTATTCCATTGTACATCGCTTACCCTCTAACTGAACAATCTGTCGTCAAATTCGACACGATTACAGAGAGAACGACGGACGCCAAAATTGAATTACGCGGAAGAACAGATACAGAATTCAAAACAAGATAGAGCGATCGAAGGAAACCCTAACACAGATACGAATCGACCAAAAACAAACAACAAATAAGGAGAAAACTCCGCGAACAATTCGATCTAAATTCTACATTCAGGAAAAATTACATAATCGACCCCCTGACTCAAACCAGAACGAACAATTACTGGTGAAGTAATCCCAGTAACGGAGATAAATAATGGATCCAAGTTCCCCAAATATAAACCCTAATACAAAACAGATGAATCAAGAAGCAGGGAAGGAAACCAAGTAAAGACCGAAGCTTACCTTCGAATTCGTTTGATCAAGACAATACAACCTCCGAAATGGAAGGGATCGATTCGCTCTCTGTCCCCCACTGATTTGGATTAACGTTTGCCAAAGCTGCGACTCGCGAGTGAGTGGCTAGTTTTGTCGTCTCGGCTCCCGAAAATTGTCCCAAGATTTTAGTTATAATTACCGAATCATGCCATTTTCTCAGAAATTTAAATATAATAAATAGAATGAGAGTCAATGAGGCCCAATTACATCTAAAGTTTCATGGGCTTAATATGGGCCCACAATATCTGTATCAACTGTCTCTCTCTATAAAGCTCTTTCGTTACCGAATGAAACCCTAACGAGTTTTCAGAAAACAGCAGCAGCATCAATGAAACGGCGGCCGGGATTTTCTTATCCATTGTGGTCGTGGTTCAGTTCCGTTTTGTGTTGTTGTGGTTTGAATTCGGCGCTTTAGAAGAAAAAAAAAACTCAAGATTCCACAGAGATGAGAGACATCCATCTATCTCCCTGAATCAAAATTCGGAGATCTCTGTCTCTTGTAACGGAATCTTCTTCGTCTGTGGTCTGAGATCGATCTGATACAGAATCGATTATGTTTTCCGAAACCTGTTCTTATATGTTTTGGCGGTGAAAAATGATGATACGGAGTTGTGATTCAGGCAGCCTCCACTGCCTTGAAAAAAATCTCGACGGCGTGTGAGGTGTTTAACTGCTCCGACATTGAACCTTGCTTCTGCTCTTCAGGCTTGCTGAGATTCTGTCTTTGAAGCTGGTTTAGTAGTCTTTAGCACATTCATTCTTCGTTCTTCTCATTTTCTCATCCCGTTACGATTCTCGAGTTCGCCATCTCCGATTCCCACGTCTGAGATATAATCATTATGGGCTTCCGTTTGCGACGTTGCCGATCGGTATGACCGTACTTGGGCTTACGTAGCCCATCATGATCAGTATTGGGCCTAAATGGGCCCACCATATATTAGGAGGGGCCCATTATGAACTTTGTTTCTCGTTTCTTGTGTGCCACAAAAAGCGAGTGCGTGTAAAGGTTGTGGAACCAACGAGCATAATCTCCGAGGCCGAATAATTTCATGCGTCGCATGGAATCTGTAAAGCAGCTCACACATCAAACAGGAAAAGGAAATGGGTTTTATTTTTTATATATAAAATTTTAAAAAGTTGATATATGTCTATGCACAAATTATGTGTTTCTGTTTGCATATTCTATATATATAATGAATGATACAAATGGTCATACGTGGGCTACCCATTTGTCTCTGTTAATGAGACCTTGGTTCAACATTTAGTGCATGTGCATGTGCATGTCATCATATGACTAATGGGTGGATGTTTTTTTAATAAAAATGAATGCTTGTCACAAAGGTTAACTTTATTACCAAATCCGTAAACGTATGGTTTAATTCAAGTAAGCGGTAATTAGGAAATTAAAGTTTAAAAGCTAAAGTCTTCAATCCGCTTTTGAAAAGCATTCGACGGGTTTTGGTTATTAGGATCCTTTTTATATTCAATTTTGGGCTATGTTGAGTTCCACAAACATGCAAAATGCTCAACGCAGAGAGAGAGAGAGAGAGAGAGAGAGCACTTAATTATGGATAAAACCAACATTGAAACATCATTAGATTGTGATTAGCGCCGTAATAACCATGTGGTACTGAGAATTGAATTGAGTGGAAAAGCAGAGCCTCCCTTTGCGTTTTCTTTCTTTTTTTTGGGGGGCTTGGGATTGTGAAAGTGGAAATGAGGACGTTGCATTGACTAAGCAAATCTTGCTTCGCCATTAAGAAGTTCCATAAAGTTGGCAACTTTAAATTTAAGTGACCTTCCAAAGTGCTTGTATAAAATCGCCACCCCTCTCTCTCTCTCTTTCCCACGCTGAGTGGAAATGGATGACAAGGCAGGCATGAAGAGAAGCGCTTCCGAGTTGGCGTTCGAGGAGTATCTCATGAAAGCCATTTCCTCCTCACCAGAATCCACCATTGACACGATCCCTTCAGACCCTTCGTCGTTTGATTCCAAGAACAGGGTTTGTTCTTTTGATGAAACCGCTACTTTGATGTCTTAGGAGACAAATCAGATGTTGTGTTTGTGTTTTGTTCTTTTGCTTACTGAGAGGCTTGGCTCTTGGGTTGAGTTGCAGGATTACACTTGTGGATTGGAAGAGAGCCTTTTCTGGATTGAGGGCATAACTCCTCTTGCCACCATTGATGCCCATTCATCCATCTGTGGTATGCTCTTTCACTCATTGTTTTACTCTCCCTCTCTCTCTTTGTTTCCTGTATATGTTCTGTAAGCGATATAAGTTTTGTTCTTCTTCTGTGAATCTGCAAAGAGAATCTGTCAGCTGATAGCCCGTCGTCCACAAATAAGCCCGAGGCAAGAGGAGAAGCTCGGAGAGCTGGGAGTGGATCCTCCAATGACCACTCTGACGAAGAAGAGGATGCAGAGACAGAAGCTGGTCAATCTGAACAGACCGATGCTCCTAACGATATCAAACGTCTTAGAAGGTGCCCAGAAAACAAAAACAAGCTGCATGCAGATATTAACCATGAATTCAAAGTTGCTCACATCGTTTTTGCTTCTGCAATGATTTCAGGATGTTCTCGAACAGGGAATCTGCAAGGCGCTCAAGGAGAAGAAAGCAAGAGTACTTGCAAGATCTCGAGTCACACGTTGAGAATCTGAGGGGCCAAAACTCAAACTTGTACAAGCAGCTAATAGGCGCAACCCAGCAGTTCCAAAATGCTGATACAAGTAACAGAGTTCTTAAATCAGACGTCGAAACACTTAGAGTCAAGGTATCATCATAGCTCGAAAGAATAGTTACCCGAAGAAAAAACTTGAATATATATGTTGATGTATAAAGTACAGTTTTTTATTTTAACTTACAGGTGAAACTAGCTGAAGACTTGGTGGCAAGAGGGTCGCTCACAAGCAGCTTGAATCAACTTCTTCAAACCCATCTAACGCCATCACCACCTCAACCAATCAACACTCTGCGCTTTGCTGCGGGGAGGAATCCCTCAACCACCGCCATTACAGTCCATGACGAGCAATCTTCCATTACCAGACAGAACTCAAGTCTTGGACTCTGTTGTAACATACCCAGTGATGATATTTGGCCATGAGGCTTCTCCTCAGCAAATGTGTGATGACCCCTCGGCCAAATCTCCTGTGCGGGTTTCTGTCTCACTAGATAGAACTACAAGCAAATAAAGTAATGTCTTATTTGTTTTATAAAGAGATTCAAGATTAGTTCAAAGCTAAAAGCAGCTCCAAGAACATTCTGACCCCATAACCACAAATGGTCAACTTGAACAAGGCAGAAAAAAGGTTCTGTTTTTGTGTAAATATATATAATTTACTGCTGAACCAAAGGTACAGTAAACTGTGTGTACAGGACAAGATATTACACTCTCTCAAGAGTTTAAGTACTCGAATCACCTGCTTAAAAAGTACCCTTAAAGAAAGCAAACGACAATACTCTTGTACGTTTACACTTGTATTTTCTATCAGTTTGTCACTGTTAGCTTCTTCTGCCGGCTGTGTGATGCATGTTGGGCAAAATTTACATAGCAGAACTTAGTTGATTACAGGCGTACTAATCTCCTGAGCTGATCCCATTGCACTTAAAGTGGAGAAATCTTCCGGCACTGGGATATTTAGCTCTGAGCATACCAGCTTGATAATATCGGCTGTAACACCTCCTAGAGACATCTTGTTCAGTGTCACTGCAATGGAAAATCTGTTTTCGGCATCACAAAATCCCGTTGATCCTCCCATCCCTGAATGTCCAAAGCCAGTCAGAGACTCACTCTTTGAACGGTTCCTCTTAAAACCAAGCCCAAACTTCCCCTCAGGCAACACTAAGCCACTGTATTCTCCAACACCCAAGAAGGCATCATGAATTCTTGGGTTTCTGAAAATCTTGCCAACATTTTCTCGGTTGTCGTCAGTTTTGCCATCAGGACTGCTAGTATTACCAGCACTACTACCATCAACTAGCCTGGTTAAACTATCTGTGCTCAACTCCCTGCCGCGACCATGCGTTATAGATCGATCATCATAGTGCCTCCTCGCTTTTGGTTTATGCTTTTCAGCGACTGCCATTTCCTTTTCTTTCTTCTTTTTTGATGTGTCGTTTAAGGAAAGAAACAACTTGGGGATGTGGGAATGGCTGCCAAGCTGTGGCTTGGATAAAGAGGAATGTGATGGTGGCACCAAGCCGGAGTCTGCAAGGGTTGCATAGTATCGTGCAAGAGCACGAGCAGAGCAATGCAAATTAGCAGCAGGAATGATGGCTCTTCGCACATCCAGCGTATTAAATATGACGGGCAAGGTGGTTGCCATCCGGGAAATGTTCTCAGGCTGCATCATGGGAGGAAGCCCAGGTTGATTGACAATCAGTGAAAGCTTGCTCAGTTCATCCGTGTCTACCATCAACGTGGCAAGCCGAGGTTCAACACCTGGAATTACGTAGGTAATTAGGGTTAAAAACCAAGTCTTTCTTCTATGTCCTAACACTATGATGCTTGTCAATTACCTGGGGGAATTCCAATGTATAGTTCTCCATCAATCTTGAGGGGTTTAACGATAGATTCTTCAAGAATCTCTTGGAATTTCTTTCCAGAAGCATGCTGCATAGGTTCAGCAAGAGTATGAGAGGAGGTATTGTAAATTACAAAGGTAACAAAAGAGGGCAAGTGATGATATACCTCAAGGATTCCACCGCACAGCCACCCAAATGTAAGATAATGATAATTTTGCACCTTGCCACACTCTGTTTCAAGTGATGAATCAGCAATCCTTTTTAAACATTCGTCCCAGTCACATATAAGGAGAGGATTTCCTTCTCTGATGGGATCAAAGGCATCGTGCAAACCAGACGTATGGTTGAGCACATGATGGACCTGAAACAGTAAACCAAGAAAGAGTCAAACAAAACATGCTAACAGGAAAAAGACGAGACCTTGTCACAGATATTCCGACAGTAAAGTTCTGTACCTTTATGGTACCTTTCCCATTCACTCCAAACCCGGGCCAAATGTTTGCAACACTCTGATCAAGCTGCAGTTTTCTGCACCATTTAAATACGAGGCTTGGTAAGTACGACTAAAAACAAGTTCTACTAGATGCAGACCTATGTATCAGAAATAAAGGTGATCTGGGGGATGTGGGGTCTGCAAAATGAATTTCAGATGATAAATGTTGTTACTTACCCTTTGTCGACAAGCCAATGCATCATACCGGCGGTGACACCTTTAGTTACAGAGAAAACAGGAAATAAGCTATCGGGTTGAACTGGACGAGGGTCATATCTGCCAAGCACTCCAGCAGCAGTGTCAATAATGACCTCCCCATCTTTGTAAGCACATACCTACATTGATGTAGATGATGATGATGGTGACTGATGATATTTTATAACAAACAGGAAAATGAAACGAATGCACTGGCCAGACAAAACAGTTGAAACTGGAACAATTGTGTAAACCTGAATTCCGAGTATTTTCTGGACACTCCCTAGTTCAACTAACAGCTTCCTCAGTTTGGCTTCTACAGCGGAATGAATTGGCGAGTCATGTAGCCAGTGAGCACCAACAGCTGGTCCTCGACTTATACTCCTATGAAAGAATTTATTGTCATAACGGAGAATTTTTCAGGAAGGGAACGAATGATACACTGCAAGCTTCCAAGAGGACTTACCCCAAGAGAACAGATTCGGCAAATGGTCTCATGATGTCCAGATAAACCACTCGGACATTCATAGTGGACGACAGTCCTAATATCGATAAAATTAAACAAATAAATAAGACGGTAAAGCACCACAAAACATAAAATTCTTATGGTACACATCATACCTCTAAGAAGATTAATAACTCTCGCAAAAATGACAATATCGCCAGGAAAGGCATCTACCTGCAAAACCACGTCTTCGTTTGGATATGGATGCACACTGTCCCAAGAAGGCATAAATGTGAGAGATTTTCACTTACAGGATTGAAGCGTTTTACTTCTTTCTGGCTTAGTTGCATCTTCTCCTGTATAACTTTCATGTTTTTTGTTCTTTCATCGTTCAGCGATTTCAGTGTTTGCTTCAAAAGAGAGGAACCCATAAGAGTGGATCCAGTAAAATTCTCCAAAAAGATGAAGGCCAAGAACTAAGGAGAGGATGTACTAACATAAGCTTCATTCGCAGGCGTAGAAGAACGGAAGAAAAGAGTCGCCACATTCATTGCCTGGTCCGGAATGTCAAGTCTCAGCTTCAATCCCATTTCTGCAAAGGCAGACAAAAGCGCCACTTGGTCTCCCTGTGACAATAAGCAATTAAAACCTAAGATATGCTCTGTAATCTCTACAATGGTCTATAATAGTACGCACAACCAGAGCAACAATTGATACAATTTTATGATATGCAGACTTCTTATTGAAGGCATAAGTGAAGTTAATGAACAAGGATTGAATATCAATATTGACTTCCTATACTGATAGACCAACAGACACGGGAAAAAAAATCATCACAAGTATAAAATTTCCACAAACCTCAGCCGATGCCAGGAACATTTTTGCTAGCGCTTGTTTCACAGAGCTTGAGAGTTTCTTTGTAAGCCCAAAATCAAGTAGAATAGGACGATGTGGCGCTTCCTTGCTGACAAGGAAATTTCCTATCAAACAGAGTGTGGTAAAATTACACAAGATGACATTTCAGGTCTTAAGCAAATGCTGTGAATCTCAGTTGAACAATCTATTCAAGGCCAAATAAATAATTTTGTGTCGCGGATTATACCTGGATGAGGGTCACCATTGAAAAAACCATCAACATATATTTGGTGGGCATATGCACAAGTGATTTCTTCGCAAATCTTTTGTTTATCTACACCAAAAGCATCCAAAGCTTCTGTATCGTTCAACCGAATTCCATCCATGTACTCCAATATGAGGACACTCTCACTTGACTGTCAATGGAATAACTCAGTGTAAGACGTGTAATCGCAAAACAAAAAGCAGGTATACCGCTATGAAGAGAATTTCATCTTTTAACGCTACAGATTCCAGTTGTTGCTTTAGAATTTAAAGCGAAATGTATTACAACAATTTTTATGGAACTCGTAAAGTCAAACAGCAGCTTCACATCGCGGATTTTCTAAGTATGATCAAATATAAAAGTGTGCTACATCAGATGCCATACCACTACCAGCACCAATGGTTTCACAAGTTAAACACAAACAAAGAAGAACCATTTCAGATTTATGCTACATCTTGTTACTGTTTTTATGACGCTTAAGGTGGTTTGGACACGTAAAACGCCGACCGCTAGACGCTCCGGTTAGAAAATTAGAAAGTATAAGGATGGAAATGAATAAACGAGGAGGGGGTAGGCCTAGACTTACTTGGGAACGAGTCATTAGAAATGATTTGGATGTGTTGCAAATCTCGGGGGATATGACACAAAACCGAAATGAATGGAAAAAAATAATTCATGCGGCCGACCCCAAATAAACTTGGGATTAAAGCGATGTTGATGTTGTTGTTGATTGTTACAGTTTTTATCCACAAGTGATTCTATGGTTCTGTTCCATCTATTTGTAAGAGCTGTAAATGAAATTTCTTACATCATAAGATTCTGAATCATGGCCTTACTGCATAAGTGCCATAGCTAACCATCTTCATTCAACTCTTTTACCATCAACCATGAGAGTACGATCAGCCAAGTACCTGAATCACTTCCGGAATTAAGACGTCAACTTGATTGCCACTTCTAACTTCATCAATTGTCTTCCTGCACCCTAGATTCTTGGACACGGTTCTAGTATTCTCTACATAATGAAATCATAGAAAACTCAGAAAAATTAAGCTCTCAGTGGTGCCTAAGTGTGACTCTGAGAAACATCTTGGACTCGATGACGAAAGGAAATCAGAAACAGATAGAGCCCTGTCTTTCACAATGAATTGTATAATACCCATTCTGATATTCGGCAAGCAAGAAACAATGGCAAAAGGTGAGTAGTATCCAGAAAAAAGGTCTATCGCTATGTGTGCAAAGAGCCAACTTCTCATCCCGAAATTTGATTAAAAATAATGAATAAGTGCTTCGGTTTAATTACTTTCTTCTCATAGCAAGCAATTCTATACTCCTCAAGCATATTATTTGTATGCAATGAGAACGTACCAGCTTCAATATTGAAGTCAAGTTCCTTTGGAGCTTCCTTGCACCATTCATCTATCATGGGATTAAAATCATACTGTGGTTCTGCCCAAGCAATCCAATCAACAATTGATTTTGCATTTTTTAAGTCCTGTTAAAAGGAAAAGGAACGCACCAGGGACCAACAATCATGTAACGGTTATAGGTCTTACTGTAAATCTCAAATGCTTCAGATCCAAATTACATCATACCTCCAAGATAATTGTTCTAATGCCATCATGTTGAACTTTAACAACCACGTCCTGCCCATTAGCTAGAGTCGCACGATGAACTTGGGCTATCTACAAAGCAGTAAGAATATAAAAAATGAGGCATTTTTTAATTTCAAGCCAAGCAATAGTTCAGAAGCCTTTGGCGTCAGATAATATGAAGATATGCCACCGACAAAGTTTCAGGATCTTACAGAAGCAGTTGCCAGAGGTTCGTCAACAAAATCCATGAACAGAACATCCATGGAATGGCCCAGCTCACTTTCTATTGTATGACAAACCTGAGGAAACGTATATATAGCTTAGCCTCTCAAAGCGAACACCATAGTTGCTGGTCACAAAGCTTCAAAACCAAATCATACTAGCTAATATCATTTTTTTCTCTTTGGCTTGTTCTTCTACACCCTAATGATGATATTCAACAAGAGTATGACCTCCTTCAAGGGGCGAGGCGGAAGGGAGTCCTGCAACTGCTTGAGAAGTGATATATAAGCCTGAGGAAGGACGTCAGCTCGAGTTGACAAGTACTGCCCAAGTTTCACCCATAGACCTTCCAACTCCACTATCAAACTCAGAACTCTCTTGGCATTACGCTCGTGAGCCTTTTCCCACAAGGTGGGAACTTTGGACTTCTTAGTCCACTTTTCCCGTTGCTGAACAGCCTTCAATCAGAGAAGATTGATCGAAACAAAATACATCAGAAGACACTGAGAGACAAGAAAAGAGTAACACGGAAACAGTTCAATTCAGAAGTTACCTTATAATCGAAATAAATGACAAGAGCTACAGTGAAGACTTTCATGCGTCTTCTGTAAATGTTTCCCCAACCCATTGGTACAAAGTTACGGCAAAATCTCTGGATCTTTGCAAAGAGTCGAGCAAGAAACCGGGGGAGATAATACCACCAGCCGACCTGCAGCGGCATACCAAAATTAGAAAGCAGAAACCCATCATAGTATAGAATTTTCAATACACATAGTGATCACAAGTTTTCATTTTTCTGGCTAAAAAGTCATAGAAACTTAAATATAAACACGCCCATTGCAAGATTGAGCTCTCGAAGTGAGATTCTCCATTCATTCCGGATTTTAAGAAAAACAACAATATGCACAACAGAAACCTGTCTCGACCCAAAAACCTCGTAAAAAAAGAATTGGGCAACTACATGTTGAAGACGAAAAGGAGAGCGCATGAAGAAAAAATCAAACGAAATTTCACAAAAGAAGTCTATGAAATCGGAAGAACCCTAGGAGAAAACGCGAAAAAATGAAGCGGAGAACAGAGGGGGGGGGGGAACCCAGATCGTAGAGATGAAATTGGAAGCCACCGCACCTGGAAGGGCCCGGAATTATTCAAGCGAAATTGGGAATTCAGCATATATAATAAGAAGCTTTAGGATTAGAATCTTCTACGCTCGTGATCCAGTCTTCTTGAATTGTCGCTGGTAGGTGAAGCGCATGCGTAAGATTCAAAGGAGAAAAAACGCGTTAACCTTTACTGGGTGAGCAGAGGAAGAAAACCCGCCAAGGAAAGAATCTCTACCGCAGAATCTGTGGGCCCTACATATATGCAATTTTTTAACTATGGGCTTTTGGCCCACGTGGCAAATTCTGAAAAGCCGACGTGGCATTTAGGCCCATAGAAGCCTGTGTGCGAACACGCTTGTCCTCTGATGGCCACTCATGGGTAAAGCGTTTATCAACTAACGAAACCACCAACTAAATCACACATGCTTTGTGACATATGATTATTATTTTCTAATTTCTTAGTATTTTATTCTTTTATTTATTCATAACAGTTTGTTTGATCTAACTATATCTTAAAAAAAATTAAAAAAATTTAGGTGAATATCTCTCAATACTTAGATTTGAATCGGGTAAAAACAAGATATTATTTTTAATATTTCATTTGAATACTGTTCTGTTTAGAAAATTAGAGGATATAAAGATAGAAGTAAAAAAATAAATAAGTAAACCTAAACTTATTTAATAACGAGTCAAAAGATATGATACAAAATCAAAACGTTTGAAAAAAAATTTATGCGAACCCTAATTAAATTTGACTGATGTTATCGTAATGACTAACAAATTACATTTTTTTGGAAATAAAAAAAAACAATATTTTTTGACCCACGAGAAGTAAATTATTTTTCGGATATAAAAAGTTAATGTTTGTTTTAGCATGTAAACAAAAAACATTGCATTAACCAATGAACATGGCTTCGTCCACATCGAGACCTCTTCTTCTTCTTCTACTTCTATCCACTGCCATTTTCGCTCTTGTCCTCTCTTCTCAGTCCGGCTTCGTCGCTCCGATACTCATCCCATCACTCCACGACCAAAATCACCATACTCTTCAAACCCAAGATCTCGAGGGCTTCTTCTTCCCCATCGAGACCAACCTCTACATTCAACTCGCCATTGGAACACCTCTCCGTACCTTCAACCTCAAGCTCGACCCTTCAACGCATCTCACTTGGCTCGAGTGCGAACCTTGCAACAAATGTTTCCTCTCTGACTCCAACCGACGTTTCAATGGCATTTCGTCGAACACCTTCTCTGCAGTCCCCTGCAACTCCTCTGCTCCCTCCCCCTGTTCTCCGACAAGTACCTTCGTTCATGCTCGCATCGACGAGGCCTCTTTCTCTCCGTTCCTCTACTGTTTGGCATCTGGGTTCTGTGGATACGACGCCGTTTCCGCCGAAGACTCCATCTCCAGCGCCGGCAACGTCGTCTCCGACACGCTTCACTTGTTTTCCTCGATCTCCGTCGCCCATCAAGACAACACCTTGCCCCTTCATGGGTTTGTCTTCGGCTGCGGGACCAGCAACACTGTCAGACGACGAGACAACGACGTCGGCGTCGACGGCCGAGCGAGTTTGACGACTCACCGATTCTCGCTCCTCTCTCAGCTTCGCGTCACGAGATTCTCCCACTGCCTCTGGGCTTCCTCCGTCGGGCCGCGAAACTATCTCCGGTTTGGATCCGCGGCGGAGTATGGGGACAGAGGGACGGCGACGGTGGCGATGATTAACGTGACGGGCTCCTACTTGTTTCACGTTTCCCTGCTCGGAATCAGCGTTGGGGCGCAGAGGTTGGCATACTCTGAATCTGATCGATCAACGAAAAAAATAAAAAATCAAAAAAAAAATTTGTATAAAAAATCAATCTAAAATTTGTATAAAAAATCAACAAAATTTTTTAAAAAAAAACTAAAATTCGGCAACATGTGTTTTTCATAAAATGATTTACTGATCTTCATAAAAAAAAGTAAACAAAAATGAAAATCTTACCTGGGTTTCCCTTAGTTTACTGACCTAATAATATGGTTATATTTTATTCTATTTTTCCTTTTTATTTCATTATCTGCCTCAAAGCAACATACTATACTCTCATTTGTCACAGTAACGCGTTGTTGTTTTTTAAATGCATTTATAGCGTCATGAGAAGCGGCGGCACATGCACAATGGCAATAGAAATAGGGACGTATTTCACGCATCTTGAGACGAACGTGTACGAAGACGTGAAGCGAGAGCTTTTGATGCAGATTGGACCGACAATCGCGTACGAAGTGAACCAGCTCATGTGTTTCGCACGACCGGACGACGTGGACATCGAGTCGCTGCCTAAAATCACACTCCACCTCGGACGGTTCGATTACTCCATCTCCAACAAAGGTTTCTATTTCAGAGACGGCCCATCTCTATGTGCTGCGATCGTTCGAGCTTCCGCCGGCGGCAATGGCGAGAAAAACGTCTTAGGAGCATCCGCCCTCGTCGATCATGCGGTCGGATACGATGTTTCCGAACGGAAGATCTCGTTTCGAAAGAAAGATTGTCTCGTCGATTTCGTCGATGGTATGTAGTATGTGTACGAGAACTGATTTCCTTAAGTATTAGGGTTATCGAACACACATACATATAGGTATAATAAGAGATCTTGACCTAACTATAATATCCTACGATCTAGGAAATATTCCAAATATATATAGATTACAATTAATCACAAATATCTCCAATACGCCCCCTCAAGGCGGAGCACTGGAGGTGATGCCGATCTTGACACAAAGATCATGAAAAGCCGAGCGAGGAAGAGGTTTAGTGAGCACGTCCGCGAGTTGATCCTTGGAGCTAACATGAAGAACCTTAAGCTTGCCGGATTCCACTTGGCCACGAACAAAGAAAAAATCCAATGCTAAGTGTTTCATGCGCGAGTGGAAAACAGGATTGGCACTAAGGTACGTAGCGCCAATGTTGTCACAATAAATGGTCGGGGTAGTGGGAAGAGTGACGCCAAGTTCAGAGAGCAACGAGACGAGCCAACAAACCTCAGCAGAGGCGTTAGCAACTGAGCGATATTCGGCCTCGGTGGAAGATCGAGAATGACCAGTGAGCTTCTTCGATGACCACGAGATTGGGTGTTTGCCAAGATAGACCACATATGCGCCGGTGGAACGAAAATCCCCAGGATCACCAGCCCAATCCGCGTCACTAAAAGCATGAAGACTAACATCATTATTGGCTGAGAGAAAGATACCCGATGTACGTGTTCCCGCAAGATACCTCAACACTCTCTTGGCCGCAATCCAATGAAGGTCAGTCGGGGCATGCATAAATTGAGAAAGCTTATTCACAGCAAAACTAACATCCGGACGAGTGAGAGACAAGTACTGTAAGCTGCCCACAATCATGCGAAACTCCAAAGGGTCCGACAGAGGCTTACCGGCGGTAAGAGTGAGCCGCGTAGTCGAAGACATCGGAGTTGAAACAGCCTTAGCATCGGACATATTTGTACGGTGGAGAAGATCAGTGATGTACTTTCTTTGACTAAGAAAGAGACCATGAGAAGAGCGAGAAGCTTCAATCCCAAGGAAGAAGGAGAGATGACCAAGATCCTTGAGGGAGAAACGGGCCGCGAGGGTTGAAATAAATTCACCAATCCGAGTTGAGCAACTACCGGTGACAATGAGATCATCAACATACACAAGGACAAGGAGTTGAAAGTCCTTACCACGATGGATGAAAAGTGAAGCATCGGCAACCGAGTTAACGAAGTCCCGAGCAAGTAGAAAGTTCCTCAATTCCGAATACCACGCACGAGGGGCCTGTTTGAGCCCATAGATATGTGAAACGTCTATCTTACCCCAAGTCTCAAGTTTATGAAGGAGGTTTATATTCCAAATCACATCCTCGTCTCGAGATTAGTTTGAATTTTGGTACATAATATTCGGTTACTCAAATATTCATATATATATATATATATATATATATATATATAACGAAAAGGAGCAATTTTACGAGGAACCATAATCTATGTATCCACACGTACGATTGTTTTGATATATCTTTGTTTACAGTATATATAGAGAGATGGACCGACACTCACACCAACAGTTATACGATATTCGATCTCTGTGTATATGATTCCGTTTATATTTTAACAAAATTTATAAAATATAAATGTACGCGTATACACATATATGCCAATATGGAATGAGTATATATATAATGCTATTAAAATTAATCTTATTTATTTAAATTAATTGCAATTAGTAATAATTTTATGTGTATTCTCTATAAAATAAAATCAATATTTTCCATTTTTATTATTAATATTTCTATTTTAATATGTTTTTTCTCTGTGTAATCAATTATCTTATATATACATAGAAAGTAAAATTTCGAATCTGCATGGAAATCTGTTGAGAAAAGGTTGTCAAATAGAGAAGGTTGAGTCATTTGGATTTGGTATTATAACGTCTTTAGATCAGAATCACTTCATTCATGATGATGATGATGATGATGATGATGATGATGATGATGATGATGATACGGACGAGATCATTTATCATAGCTAGTATATATCATTCAAGTGAGATCGGGTTAGAGATGCGAATACTATTTGTTTTTCCTCTACTCTTTTTCTTCTATATGTCAAAAATAAACTAACTCGTTACCCCTTATTTACATTGTAGGTTTAACTCCCACCATCGTCGCCACGCCGACTAGCTACACTACTATCATGACAAAGCATTGTATATGTAATTTGGATGGAACGCAACCTTCGACTGCATAGACAAATTTATCGGTGGCGGACCCAAAATCATCTTTGAATGAGGGCATTAATGATGAATATTCTAAATTTTTATGGGACATTATTTAAATTTGTATTAAAATAATAAGTAATGTTTAATTTTTTCAAATGATAATAAAAGTAAATTTAATTTTTTGGATGAGCCCACCTATGAAATCTGTCCGCCCTCTTCCGAGACTTGAATCGCTCATCGCCTAATAAAATGACGATATTGGCCTCGCATTGTCTCCATGTTTACGTTTACACGTGAAAAACTCTCTTGTACAAAAAAAAAAAAATCATTGTCGGCTTCAAGAAAACAGTAAAAGTTGTATTTGACGTTTGTTTCATATGTATATATACACAACATAAGCGTATTATTATGTTCACTCAACTAACCATATCTTTAACTTTTTAAACTCTCTTGGGGGCTAGTCCATGTGACAATCTCATGCGGGTC